GAAAGAAAAAGATAAGAGAGTGAGAGAAAAAGAGAGAAGAAAAGAAAGAGAAGGAGATATTGGTTCTGCGTTATGCGGTGACATAACTTGAGGAAAGCCTTCAACTCGTGGCACTATTTCTCGCGCTCGACGAAATTCAATCTGTTATTCCGGGTGCTCGCCCGTTACAATATTTGGAACACGTTTCTCGCGATCTCCCTCTTTCTCACGTGCGCAAATTGGAGCATGCGGTTCCAAAGAACCTGTTGAGATCTGTTCCATTGATTACACTGTTCAACAAGAAAATACACGAGAACGAGAATAATCGTTTCCCATAATTTTTTCGATCCTAAATACAATCCTAAATAATTTAGTTTATTTTATTATCAATACACTTATAGCTTACTATTTTTTACGTATATTCAAATTTTTGCTTGCAATTTGATAGAGTCACAGGGTATATAAAAAATTAAAAATAAACTTTTTATGGTCAGCTCTGCTTACAATTAATCGTTTAGTGAGTAGTTGTAATTATACTGAATGCACTCTCTAAATAAACCTATTAACATGACTGACTTACTTATTAACATGATATGAACAGTTCGCACATCTCTATGTTCAGCCCTTCAAAGAAATTTGCTGTGTCGATTAAAAGAATATTTATGATTGATATACGATCCGTTTTTTGCGTGAATATTGTGCCTTACATATGCCATTAAGGATCTACCAAATATGGTTCAATTATATTATTCACATTTAAGGAGTTTTCAGATCGTTGAATACTAATCTGATGTAAAAATTGTTAAATTAAAAATGACGAAACCAAAATTTTTAAAAATGTTTAAATTTTTGGAATAGGTAATTCATATATAGAAGTTTTTCATAAAATTTAAGTTAAATTTATCAACTTTGACATCAGATTTTAACGATCTGAAAAACCTTCATGTTTGAATAACATAATTTAAAAATTTGATATAGATTCTTGATAGCCTATACAATAAGTCACAATAAACTCTATACGAACTAACTCTAAGTCAAAATACGTTAAAATTCTTTTTGCAGCTTTATAATTGTAAATTTCTGAAAATTATGACGTGATAGAAGAATTTGGTGAAAACTGAATTGCATTCAGAGTATAAAAAATTACGAAAAAAAATTATTCTCATTCTTGTACTCGAAAAAAAGTAATTTTTTGTTGAACATCAAGGTTATCAATATTTGCTGCAATATTTATCGAAAGTTCTTGGCAAAAGTGTCGAAAGTTCCTATTTTTCTTGTTCTCCAAAACGCATATCATGGCCAAAGTCAAAATCATAAAAATAAATTGGGTCAAGTGCGCGTGAGAGTCACCTTGACACAAAGGGCCTCTAAGCCTTTTCACGCGATAACACTTTACCGTGATACGCGAGATCGTACGATATTGATCTGCTTTTGGGTCCAAAAACCGTCAGGAAACGCCTTTTTCTTCTTTCTCTCGCGCATAAAAAGAGACTGTACCATAGCATAACTCTGTATCTTTCGTAATCCCGTGCCATGAGAGAGAATGCGCGCAACGTGGAACAGGTCGAAAAGTACAAGAATGAAAGCGAGATCAGCCGCGAGATTCATCCTCTTGTTCTTCGTCGCGCCGGACAACGTCGGAGAATCCGCGCAGCTGCCGCTCGCTGGAGCGTTGATATCACGACCTCGCTCGCGGGCTGCGATAATTAAACTGGATCGACAAACCGGCGCTAGTCGGTCTTTTTTTTTTTAATCCTTTTCGAGGACGCACTTGGAAATAAACGACATCCTGTTTGTAAGGCTGTACAGCCGAGAATGCCCTTTGCGCGCGATATTCGCATACGTGCGCGTTGCGCAAGATTGTCGGGTCTACGGATAAAACCGCGTGTGCGTGTCGGGCGCGCGGGCGTGCGTGTGCGTGTGCGTGTGCGCGATTCGCTATGAAAATAAATGCGAAAACATCAAGTTGGATCAGCGTGGTACTTTCCCGGTCTATGACGACCGGTTCGCACCACCCCGAGCGAGCATGGCCGCCGAATCCGAGGCCGAGCACACGGCTGAAACAGTTCCAGCCGCGGACTCGCGTCCACTCGCGTCGCATTCGTCCGCCGACCGTTTCTTCTCGCGGTGAGTGCAGCGAGCACGATACAGCGCACGATATAATCCACGGGGTCTTCGATCCGATTTGTTAACGTACGCCTCAACTCGGCCGACTCGGCTGAGTCTCTCTCTCTCTCTCTCTCTCTCTCTCTCTCTGGATCTCCTCGATCGCGGGTGAGTGCGTGTAAAAGCTTACGGCCGCTGACGTGCGTATACAATTTGGAGAAACGTTAACGGTAAGGATCAATTAAGTATTAGTGCCCGTCTACAATAGGTGTTTAAACCCTATTGTAACCAATCACAGTCAATTATTCTCCTCAAATTCAACTGTGATTGAACAATTTCTTAAGGCTTAGGGCTTAAAACACCTATTGTAGACCGGGACTTAACGGCGTTAACGCGGCGCGCGTGTAAAAGTTTGCCGAATTCGTGAACGAGCCGCGCGGAGTCGAGGGGACTATTTCCCCTCGAGTTATTTCTGCGGGGCACGCGAGCAGCATAACATTCCGTTGTTAATTAACGCTGTAAACAGCAGTCGCGATAACGACATTTGAGCTGCTTAATAACGACCGGGAAATCACTTTTCTCATACTTTCTAAATGAGATCACGTGCGCTTTCACGTTAAGATTCGAGTAAAAATAAACGCGGGTCGTGTGTGTTTACGATGCCTATGTTAAATGAAATTTGCGCATTCTTTATAAATAAATGTTACGTCCAGATACACGTTCAAGAACATATCGACGCTTCAATGCTACGTGCGTAAGATTGAAAAAGAAATATCCATATTACTCGGAAACAGATTACGTATATAGTTACGATGCATTGTGTACATAGTACGTCGCTCGCAGCGTGTACACTATTTATGACACAAAGCTATAGAAGAAGTCAAATAATTATACAACTTTTATATATGTTGCGAGAAGACGCGACTGATCGATATTCTAGTTCTACGTAATAGTTTAAGTCATATACAATATACGTCATATACAATAAGTTTAAGTCATATAAGTACTTTCGATAAAAATGTGATTTCAAAAATAATCGAATTATTATTTTTATTTTATTTTTTCACCAATGTTATTATTGTCGATATTTTTATGCTGATTTTTCATAGGTAATTTACAAAAATATCCTGATGTCTTTAATTGGAGCCAACCATTATGTTTAATTTACTAAAAAATACATAGTATTCCGAATTATTATTTTTTAATTAAAGATTATTGAATTAAATTTCTCTAATTAAAGATATTATATCTTTAATTAAAATTCTCATGTTTTTAATAGAATAAGATTTCCTGATACTACCTTGTTGATCCAATTCTGATATTTTTTGCGCATTTGAGCAGTAATTCTTATGTAGCTGGTATTTCTTAATTGATCCGCGTCGATAAAAATTGTTTCTGTAAAAAAGCTGTATTGGCTACTTGATGGAAATGTTTCTGCGATATTTTTACGTTGCAGATACATCTATTTAAACGAAACGTCTAATAATTTCTCGACAAGGGTTCTACTTTTTGAAAATATTCGAGACGAGCAATAAAGCAAAATAAATTAATTGCAAGAGAAAATTAGACGTTTTATTTTTCGGAGTAATATATAATACTGAACGCATTTCTTTTCTTCTATCAAAATCGTTAAAAAAATATATTTACCTATTTTTGTTATTTCTATAATATAATTTTGAGTTTATCGTCAACTCGATCCTCTTCCTAATAGAAAATTCGCAGTTCGATAAACGCAGGCTCGCCTCTTCGCGAAGTAAACTTTGCGTACAATATATGAATACATTATCATTTAATATCGCCCGGAAAAAGACCCTCCTCTATTATTTCTGCTACTTGTCATGGAGGTTACTATTGTTCATTTGCCAGGCCATAAATATTCAATGCGGCGCAGAAACCAGTTGCGAAAATGCATAATGCGATTCACTTTCGATAACTACTCGATAACTTCTCCCAACTTGAATTGTGTGCAGTCGCGCAATACCTAATTACCCTGTATAGCAAAACGAGCGCGCGTCTGTCGTTCGTATACGGCCGCTATACGTGTTAATTATGCATTGCGCAATACGCTCTAGATAGCTTTCCGTTCCGTAAAAAGAAAAGTAAATATAATCATCTATCTTTCACCCAACTGCACTCGCCAACAATCGCGCGTCTCTCAATTATTACGATCATTCGCACTTGAGCTTTCTATATATATATCGTAGGGAAGTCTTCGAAAGGATCGTTCTTCTCGGCCGCGAGAATGGAGCAGAGCAAAACGGATGACGTAGCGCCGGACAGGATAGCCGAGACTCTTGCCGGTCAGAAAATACTGGTGACCGGTGGGACGGGATTCTTGGGAAAAGTGTTGATCGAGAAGCTCCTGCGGTGCCTGCCCGACATTGCGCACATTTACATGCTCATCAGAACGAAGAAGGGCAAGGATCCGAAGCATCGGCTGGACGAAATATTTAGTTCTCCGGTAAGTTTCGGCCCCGTTTCTTGCTTTCGAAACCTTGATACTTTCTAAAAGAAATATCGCGAAATACCGCGTTAAAAAGAATCACAATTAGGATCCGGAGCATCGGTTGGACGAAATATTTTTAGTTCTCCGGTAAGTTTCGACCCCGTTTTGCTTTCGAAAGGAAACCTGGTTGATACTTTCTAAAAAAAATACCGCAAAATACCGCGTAAAAAAAAAATTACAATTAGTAATCTGACCGACTAATTGTACGGCAAGTACACGGATATATATACGTACGTGATATCATCGCCATATATCTTGCCTCGTCCGGGTACCCGGAAAAATTTCACGTTCCACCTTGGGGTCTCTCTCTATCTCTGTCTCTCCCATGAGGCAGCACCAAAAAGAGAAAGTGCGTGACTATGACTTTGCTATTGCGTCGCTGGTTGCATCATTGTTGCCTTACGACGATGGCGCGTGGTGCAGCTGAGAGGCTTGTAAAACGCGCGTTTCCTCTCGCGCTCACGCGCGCTTTGGATATTTCTTCGCTTTGGAAATAAAGTTCACCAGTGAAAGTGTAGTAAACCGGACCATCAGCCACCGCCACCGTCGTCATAACAGCCGAGCCATCTATGTGACGAAAGAAAACCGGGTCAAGGCCCTCTCCGTCGAACAAGCGAGGGAAGAGATATGGTGATTATTATAGTATCGCGCTTTTGCCGATCTCGGTGAAAGTGCGGATTGCACGTTTCGCGGCGCACGTTATGTCACGTCTTTCGAATTTTAACGCAATACCGTAAACAAGCCTTACGTACGCGCGTGAGCGCCCGCGCGCGCGTACGTGCATGATAAAATTCCGACAAATTAGGCGTCATTAGAATTACATATACAATTTTCCTGCTTGTACCTGTTTCACCTCGGGAGAAAACGATTGTTGCGAAAATCTTTAACTTAATTCAATTCATCCGCGCGTCTCGTTAGCTTACAATTAGCTTCAATCGGCGACGCGAGCGCGATCGACTATACTTCATTACAACTACAATTCATTACGACTATACTTCATTACTAATATATTTCATTTGACTAACGGCAACGCTCTATATTGTTTTTTTCCCTTTCTTTTTTTTCGAAACTCCACTGCTGGATCTATTGAATAATCCACTTATGACAGTATCGCACGACACAATTACCGTGGCAAATTGATTAGATAATGCATAACTTTCAATTATGCACAAAGTGTATAGGATCACGCTATGCATTCGCGATTATCATATTATTAATATAAAACATCGACAAACGTGTCACCAATATATGTCAACGTAATACGAGATGATTATTAATCACATCAACAAGTTAATAAACAGCGTCAAGCGCGATACGTGGTGCGCAAGCAAAGAAATTAATAGTTACAGAACGAATTACAAATGTATATAATATACATATATATTCCAACTTAATAAACTGCGCGCCGATTATTTGACTTATTAATTATATAATATATTGCTTGGGGTGTAAATCTAGAATTTAAATACATGCTCGTTAAAGAACAGTGCTAATTGAGGGATGGATTTTATTTTATGACATCCCCCTCGCTAAGCGAGAGATAAAAGGGAAAAAAATGGTTCGAGACTTTCCGATTCGCTTTTGATTAAGGAACAGCGGTACGTACGCAGTATAGTCGCGAATTATAAGACATCCTACATACACATACGCACGCGTCACGTCACAACCAGTTAAGGTAATTAATGTACATATAACAAGACTTCTTTTCAAGCGCTTTTTCAAAGCGCGAGCTCAAAGTTCGCCAATAAGTTGAGCACAATAAAAAATATTGTGAATATAATATACATACCGTAATACTTTGCTTTACATAACTTAAATTCCTCTGATTCCTGTGCATATATAAAAGTATTAAAATGGAATCATCGAAAAATTAGTATCTCACGAGACATCCCATACTTTATTCTAAAATAAATTAATCCTTTAATTTGATCAGTGGGACACATACGTCTTACCTACTTTAAAAATCATATCTTCCATAAAAATCAACACATCAACTTTGTTAAGATCTCATTTTAAAGAGGATAGTAGGCTCTAAATACAAAAAAAATTGCTGAACCTGAGGGTAGCAATCCTCCAGCTGACACACCCTGTCAAAAAGTGCCAAAATCACGAAAAAATGAAAAATAAGCAGAAAGTGCGTTTAGGCAAAATTTTTGTTTACCTTCAGTTTATGTATTGTACGTTTCGAAATAAAGTCAAAATTATGTACAAAAAAGGCTTGCAAGAAAAATTACCCTTATCAATTATCTTAATACTTATATCTACTTTTTATTATTATTTTAATACTTCTAAGCACAGTTTAATCGATTAATATAAAAAAAATGCAGAGTCATATTTTTTACAACAATTTACAATAAAACATTGCGCAATATTGACCAATAAATTTTACGTCTCTGTACGAGATACATCGTGTAAAAAAATTACGTGACATTAAAAACCACGTAGTATGCATATGTCACACGATAATGATCTGATATATAATAAAAAATCATATATATACAGATTTTGTTTTTATCTTTTTTATACCAAGGACAATCTCATTACATATTAATCGATTGCTTGTAACATAATCGAAAAAAATATTCAAGGATCAAGATTGCGAATCCATTGCGTTATACAACGGCATACTACATCTAAGGATAAAGGATAATAATGATATAGATCTATATAGTAGTGATATAACAATGACGTTAACAGTGTTTATGACTCACGTCCTCTAGGATGTTTTTATAATTCCTTGGTCGGACTGCAATTACTTCACTCTTACCTTCGCTCTTGTATAATAATACAATTGTGTGACCCTCGTAATATTATATGTGACCTCCGCCCCCTCCATATTGGCAAGTAATGAACGATTTATTTGAAATAAAAATTACAGCTCTTCGAGAAAGTGAAGACTCAAAGAGGACTGTCGGCGCTTGAAAAAACGGTAACGGCCATTAGCGGTGATGTGTCAATGCTGGGACTTGGATTGTCCCCGGAAGACAGGAAGATGCTTATTGAGAACGTTACCATCGTGATTCACGGAGCAGCTACTGTCAGGTAATCGATAACGAAAAGGGATACGCTGCCTCTAATCTGATGCTCAAGTATTTTTAGCGAGATTCGGAGACACTATAGATTTAAACGTTTAAAGCATCGTTTTTTAATAAAAATGCAATCTGTCAATAAGCAAAATGTTAGCGAAATAGCTTGCCAACAGATTCGAGCATCGCGGAGAGATTTGCATTACTCGGTTCTAGCAAATATTATAATCTGACGGTGAAAACCGAATCTGTCATTTCGTAATCATTTAAATGGAATATGTCATGTAAATGGTTACGAAACGATAAATCCAGCTCGATAGAGTTTCTACAGTCCAACCTGCCATCTCATTCTATTAGTTAGATTTCCTTTTATTTCCGCTGACGTTCTACTTCAAGATCTATTTTTGAAAGATCTACGTAATCTTGTTATTCGTTTGCTTTATACAATAGTTAGATCAACCAGATATATATATGTATATATATATATATATATCTGGTCATATATATATATATATATATATATGACCTGTGAATACGATTCTCTCGATGACTAATGAACTTCTTATTTGCTCGGTTATTAATCTTTTTACAGATTCGATGAGCTGTTAAAGAGAGCGGTACTGCTAAATACACGTGGCACGAAGCAGATGGTAGAGCTGGCCAAAGAAATGAAGCATTTAATTCTGTTCGTTCATATCAGCACAGCCTATTGCCATCTCGAAGAAAAAGTCAGTATAATTTCTGATGGGCATTTGCATGTCTGAATGTTCAGAGAAAATACTAAATAAAGAACGGCCCCCGACAGGTTTTGGGCGAGAGAACATATCCCCCGCCCGCGGATCCTCATCAAGTGATCAAATGCGTCGAATGGATGGACGATGACGTGGTCGAAGCTATGACAGACAAGATTCTGGGAAAATTGCCTAATACGTACGCTTTCACAAAGGCCTTATCAGAGAGCATCGTCGAAGAATCTATGCAGCATATTCCATCGATAATTTTGAGGTATCGACGAGAGCGTCTCGTCCAAATTAATTCGTAGTTACTAGATCGTTAAATGCTTTCATTACACAATTTCATCGTCCATCAAGAAAGGGATTACATTAGTCACTACGTATAGAGGAATGTGTTAGTACCAAGGATTGGTTTATAAGCCGGTATTCATAGTCGGATCTTATATTTAAGATCATCTTAAGTATAATTTTGTCATAAACCAGTCACAACAGAGCTGTATTAGCATTTTAAAGACATTACTTAAGACGGTCTCGAAATAAGATTCGGCTGTGAATACCGGCTATAGATTAAGGTAGAAATAAGAAAGAAATATTAAGCAAAATGATAGTAGTATCTCGGCAGATTGGTAACAAATTTGATCAGGCATATCAGCAGACTGACATCAACTGCGTCCGCATTCAGCTTGTTATGCCAGCAGAGCCTGCTCATAATCAGACAGCAGATTGGCAGCAGAAACTGAACGATTCCAGTAGAATCTGCTCGATTTCTGCCACTAATCTGCTCGCTGATTATGTTAGCAGATTCTGTTATACTTCTGTTGGCGTTCTGCCGACATCACGTGATATATCGGCATCAAATCTGTAGTCTTTCTGCTGACACAAAATTCAGCAGATACTTGGAGATATGCTTTTAACAGACTTGGCTGCCTGAGATTGGATAGAATATGGAATGATTAACTGGATAGTGTAAAAGGGAACATGTTGAGGAAATAATAAAAAGAGAAAGAGACTATTAGAGTAAGAAAGAATAGGTAGTATTAAGTACGATGGTTGCATGGATGGTATGAATGCGTTAAGTAAATATTGTAGTCCACCTCTTGGCAAGCTAAAGTTAATAAATTATTATTATTATTAATTTCATCATCCGTTAGGCCGAGCGTAGTTATTCCCATCTGGAAGGAGCCGATACCCGGTTGGACAGACAATATCAACGGGCCGACCGGTCTTCTGATCGGTGCTGGGAAGGGAGTGATCAGGACAATGTATTGCAACGAAAACGGCTACGCCGATTATCTGCCTGTCGATATCGCCGTCAATGGTATTCTCCTTACCACGTGGAATTTTATTTATTTCAAGGATCACGAGAAACGTGTTTATAATATGACGAGTAGTAATGAGTTCAAGGTAGATAGAAAATAATAGGTGCCTGGTGTACGTATCTTTTAACAGCATCAAAAAGATATTTTCACCCTTGCTCACAGGTTACCTGGGCGGAAATAATAACACGCGGCCGAAAGATAACGGAAAAGATACCTCTGAACGGAGTCGTCTGGTATCCAGGTGGTAGTTTGAAGAAATCGCGATTTATCCACAACATTTGTATATTACTCTTCCACATGATTCCGGCCTACATCATCGACGCGCTCCTCTTTCTGGCAGGGTATAAACCGATGTAAGTCACCGGCAAGACCATAGGCTTCAGATCGATACGCAAAGTGCATTTACACACGCTTGTTCATTTCATTTGTATTACAGCATGTGCCATGTACAACGCCGTATAAATAAGGGATTTGAAGTTTTCGAATATTACGCCAATAATCAGTGGGACTTCGAAAACACGTATGTCGATGATATAAGGGCAAAGCTCAACAGCACGGAATATAAAAACTATCAAGTGCACGGCGAGGACTTGGACATAGATGCGTACTTCGAGGATTGCATTCGAGCTGCCAGAATTTACATCTTAAAAGAACTTCCAGAAACACTGCCGGCCGCTCGTCGACATTTGAGAGTGTAAGTTTGAGAATCGCCGAAGGGAAAAAAATGCGCGTTTCTCTATGAAAATCAATCTAATGTCTTTTCTTTGTCGCAGTATGTACTGGGTGGATGTAATAACAAAGATACTTTTCTTCCTGCTCATCATCTATCTGCTAGCATCCTGGAGTGAAAGTTTTAGAACTTTACTCACAACCGGCGTGACGTACGTTACAAAATTAATTAATAATTTGTAATTTAATCAAATTAGGATTTTCATCGCGCAAAGCTTGTCTAATTCGATCCAATTATCGATCGTTCTACAATTTAATCTCAAGGACGCGATGGGGGTTAAGTATATAGCGGTACCTTGTAGTGCACGCTACAACCTATAATATGCACTAGATACGGATAAAAAAAACATGTAAATAAAAGTGTTATTTACACAATCGTCTGGCTTTTATTTTTATGAAAGATTTAAAACACCCATCCTTAAACAGACTCTTGTACAGGTGGTTCGTAACCTTCCGGTCTATCTATTTTGGAACCACTTTCGCCGGCCTCCTCGCTCTTGTTACCGCCCCCATCTCCGTGCAACTCCAACAATTTGCTGAGTTCGAAACGCGGTTTTTTCAATACTTTCACCTGAAATAAAATTACATTCTATTGTTTACTGACACTCTTAACGTTCTATTAAGTTAGTAAAAATACCAGTATTAAACAATCATTTGTCTCCAATTATGTATACATTATATTGTTACTCACCTTACGAATGTAAACATCGTGCAGAGGATATATGCCTTGCGAGGCCTTCTCGATGTCCTTAGCAGTTGCATCCGGAAGCAGTTTACTAACTACACCTTTCAAATCAGTTTTAGTAACGTCCTCTGTAATGGTTTCAACCATCTTCTGCCTGATTTTTTTAACCTAAATTATAAGCCATGTATTATAAAATAAGAAATTAAACAAAAAAACAATGAAAAATATCTAGCCAAACATAACTAAAGATATCTAGCCAAACATAAATAAAGAAAAAATTAATATTATGTAAATTGTGTCATTAAAATGCAATTGTTTCAGAAATATTTTTGTCTAGTTAAATCGAATAACTTAAAATTTTTTATTTTACTTAAAGGGCTATATATATAAATATACCTCAGACAGTAAAAAAAAATATCCTTTCAATATTTGTAAATGTTCATAATTAAACAACAAGCAATCTATATAATATGTTATAATATAGTATATATATGTATATGTAGCATGTTCCTATATCACTACTTACTAAAAATGAAAGTAGTGTGGTAAGCGACTGCATTAATCTACGCAATCTCTCTTGCCACTCAACCATTGAGAAGATTAAAATGGATAACGGAGTTGCGTGTAATGCACAACAAACAATTCAATGGAATACGGACCTGAGCGTGCTGGGCGTAACACGTCTTCCTCGTGCTCAGCTGATCTTTATTCGTGAAGCCGATGCAGAACACTCGAAGCAGGTAGCCATCGGTAGTCTTCACGTCCACGTTGGCTTCGATCAAAGTTTGCCATTTTTTCACCATTGATCGAAGTTTATCTGTTGTCAAGTCCATTCCGTGGAAATTGGTCAGTACATTACGACCTTGCACATCCTCAGCGATCAATCTGAATTTTCTGAAGGACCTCTCTGCATCCTGATCGCTTTGTAAATCCGCTAGAGATACTTCAAAGACACGGAACTTTAGCCCCTCGGAAGCGATCTCTGCGAAATGAGATAAATACTTTGTAACAGAAATAAATACTTTGTAACATGTTCACAGACATAACGATGGTCAGTGACAAACATTAAACTTCCTGTTTATGCTGTCGCTAGTCAATGTTGCTAGAAACATGAAACGAGCTATGTGCAACACATAATTTAGCTAAAAAGATATTCAGCTTTGAATAAGAAACTTTAATTAAGAAGAAAAGAAATCTTACTTGTTCCTTGGGTTCTATTAACTAAGGTTTTTCCAACCTGTCGGTTGGCAAACATGGACGGTGCTTTGACATCGTACCAGTCCTTGCGAGTGAAGGGATCCACGCTGAAATAATAGCACTTGTGTGACAAAATGTAAGGTACAATATATTAATGGTGAGAATCTGTTATTTTATCTTTTTTAAATATTGTAACATTTCCTATCCAATAAAGTATTTTTTTTTAACACATCTACACTTTAATTTGTTAACTTTATGTCTCCTTTTATATAATCCTCCCAGTTCTCTGATAAACTTGTAAATAACTAAGAATCTATAACTCTAAGAATCTTTCTTTTTTTTAACTGCTGCCACGAACAATATAACTCGATCCTGTTACATCTAATTGTATGTTAAATTTTCTTCTTTTCTCATCACATGATCTACATTGAAATATTAAATGTCTTTGGATTCATATCCGCAACTATATCGAGGAATGATTGTTCTTTCTTTAAGTGCCTCCCCACTTAGCGAGAACTGAAGCGTCTTCTTTTTCTTTTTCAAAGGTTTGGGTCACGTGTCTCCAATCAATTTCTACTAGTTTCTTGGCACAATTTTTACATCCTGATCTGTAATTCTTGGCCTCTAACTCTTTTGTGAGCTATAATATATACTGTATGAACTATAATGTACTATACGGTATAAACTATAACATATTATACTGCGTGAGCAGTGAACTATAATATACTAAGTATACTAGAATGTGAATTCTACTCTAGAAGAAAATGGAATAAAAGAGAAAGACATTTATAACCAACTTGTCCTTTTCTATTGCTGTACTCTTCGAGAACAATAAAGAACCATTAACTATTCAAAAATCGCTAAATAGAGACAGAAGTGATCCTTAATTAACCTGGTTTTCCAATATAGCATATATCTATATATGTATATTTGTAGGTAAAGAATCGTATTTCCATTTTAACTGGCATGTTTAATAGTGCAACTGCCAATAACACACTGTACCTTGTTTAAAAATTGGGCATTATACAAATTTTCAATACGACTTTCTCTAAACATTGTATTTTAGGAACTAGTAATAATAGACGCTTTACCATTATACAATTTATTATAATGAAAAATGTATTAACTCCATTTTGATAAAAACTGGAGATACGATCCTTTACCTCTCTAAGGTACAGGTATATAGTTCACTGCATTTTTGTTGCTTGTACTATTTCTTCCCGAATTGTGTTATGTATGTATAAGTGTCTGCAGTGGTAAACTCAAATAAGTCGAAAATTATGCGGATTAATCTTCTCCCTGCAGGAGAACCTTCATCAACCAGGTTATATAGCTCACATTTCACCCCATTCAATCCACTACATATATAGCTATAATCTTGTAGATTCTTTTTCATATTTTCTTAATAAAGCTGTATATTATGTTCAATTTAAATTAAAAGTTTCTCCATTTAATTAGCTCGAATACATTTCCTTTATTTCCAACATGATTGATACACCAGGTTAATTAGGTTAGGATCTCATTTCGCGTAATCGCGAATCGCACGCGTCAGTCGATTTAGAGCAATTAATTTTTAATGCACGTGACAGTAGTCGAGGTACGCGAGAGATGCGATCGATAATCATATTATTGTACCGCGTTCAAAGGAGGCCGGATAATGCAGCGATGTGGCGTTATTCCGTGACCACACATATGCACCGGGCACACGAGGGATCCGACATAACCAAAGGCATCACGCGAAACGATGAACCGACGAGAGATCCATCGCTAACGCGAAACAGCCAGTTACACGCGAGACGCAATATTCCTTACTTACATCTTCTTCTTCACTCCCTTCTTTCCTCCTTTCGAGAGACCTTTATTCTTGCCCACCGCCATGATCCCGCGTTCCAGGCTGTTGGGCTGTTCCAGGCGAAAAGAAACGCTCCCGAAGCGGAAACTTGGACAGTAGTGAGTGGACTACGGTTGGCCGAGTGCGGCGGCGCGGCTCGCGGCGCTGAGCGCCGAAAGCGGAAGTTACTACCCGAGTAGAAACTGGAAAGAGGTGTTTTTGTTTTCTATCGGCGCCAATTTGTGCTGACTCTCGCACGTGCAAGGCAGCCAATAATTTGAGCCACGTAAATTGCAATTTTAACTGGATCACTGAAAAATATATGCAACGAGAAATCACAGGTGTCGTCGACGTGATGCTATCAGCGAAGAGCAGGCTAGCTGCTTTATCGGTCTGAATGCGCCCTTTAAATAAGCCTAGTGCTATCTAATATACATGATCGCATGACTAACGTCAAAATGGTAAAATGACCAAAAATCATTTTGACATCATTTTGACTTTATTATAACTTGCTGTTCTACCTATATACTGGGAAAATATATATATTTATATCACAATTTAAATATTAAATTATAAAGATGATAATAAATCGATATACTAACAGGATAAAAAATACCATTAAAACGCTGTACAATTGTGCACGCGTGGAAATATTCTTACCATAATCATAAAAAAAAAAGAAACAGTAAAAGAAGCACCAAAAAGTTTTGGAGCTTCTTTTACGCAAGAAAACTTTTGTATATAAAAGACACAACATATTATTATTATTATCAACATGACACGAAAGTTTAAAAATACAACCAGGTAACTTAGAAATATTACAAGTATTTTGTTGTAAAAAAAATAGAATAAAAATGGAAGGATCCTCTCGTCAGCGCGTCAATTTTCCTGAAAATAAATCAAGTACACTTTCAGACCGATATATATACGCGTCCCGCCTCGCGTTCGCATAACAACGCGACGTAACCTGTTGCTCAGACAAACCTAACCTCACGCGGCGCCTGTCGCTCAAAATTCTCCGCCGTTCGTCTCATGCACGTCTCGTCTTTCCGGGTGACTGACGACTGACAAGAGGACAACAGCGATCGAAAACCTCGATCGGAGGGGAGACCGTCGACCTCAAAACTTCAAAGCCGTTGCCGGTTGAATTTTCCCGCTCGAGCGCGATCCGATTCCAGCGCGTTCCGTCGCGTTCCGGTCGGAACGGACCGAAACGGGCCGGAACGCGCCGGAACGCGGAGCGTACCCCCCGGCGATTTACAATCATAAACTACGGTGTCGCGTATGTATGTTTCGTATGTATATGTATATACTTATCGCGAGAGCGTGGTTTTATTATGATTTTTGAGCGCCAGGTGGCCGCGTTTTTGTTGTCGATCCGCCGTCGGCGGCGCGGCGCGGCTCCCCTCAGCGCCATTACATCGATAAATGTCATCGCGGCGGCCGCCAGCGTGAAACGTCGCCGTCGCCGCTCGCCGCCGTCGCCGTCGCCGCCGACGTAGCACCGTCCACCTGGTCCTTGCCGCCCGCGTAAGAGGAGGAGCAGGAGAAGGAGGAAGAAGAGACGACGGTGGAGGAAAGAGGATCGCGCGACGCCTGCTCCAGACACGGCCACGCGTCCCGGTCGCGCGCACCGCGACGATGTCCACCAAGCGGAAAAACGCGAGTGGCAAGGCGAAGAACCGTCCGCCTAAGTCGCGGAAGGTGGAGTACGACGAGGAGGACATCTCCAGCGAGCACGACTCGGAGGTCGACGATGCCGAGGCCGTCTCCAACGCCGACGGCGAGGACGCCGCAGCCGAGGACGCGCTTGCGGACGTCTCGAACATGCCCGAGCTACCGGCCCCGGAGGTGATACACTCCTCGTTTCTCTCCCTCTCTCCCCTCATTCCCGCTCCCCTCCGACCCCCTCCCCTCGGTCTGTGGTTAAGCGACGCGCCCGGTCCCTCAACCCGCGACGCGACGCGATGGCCGATTGTCCCGATCGTCCCGTAATTAACGCTATTGTTTTGCGTTCGAATATCGAAATGCGAATATTTACACGAATTAATACCAGGTACATTAGGTTTATTGTTGACACTTTGTACGTCCATTTCTACCAATGTACATTAACTTACGGAGTGAGATAGAAAATCACTAATCGCGACAGTTAAAGCATAGCTTAATGTCCATTCTATTACTTAATGTAGAATAACTTTAATCTCAGTTTAACTTGCTTCTCATCTTTTTCTAATTCTAAGAATTGGAAAAAGATGACAAGTAAGTTAAACTTAAGATTAAATTTAATCTACATTAACAGAATGGACTATGTTTCAACTGTCGCGATTAGTGATTTTCCACCTCTTTGTAAAATTCATTCTGTAAAGTATCATAGGATCTACAAAACGGACGAGAGAAAATTTGGTTTTTTGATCAGCATTCTGATACGATTACTTCTAGCTCTTGCTTAAATTTTGTTTGTTAATGTAGAACTGTGTTGGGCTTTAACCCATTTGGCCGGCGCTTGTTTCATACCTGCTGTGGACAAGGTACACTGTTTATGGCATTCAAACAATCAAGACCCAACCCAGCTAGCAGAAAGTTGTAAAAGACATCTTAAAGACGATATAATTTTTCAGATGTCCTTCAGAGTTCTTTTAAGCGTTTTTAAGACACCTTTTAGAAGTTTCTGCTAGCTGGGAACTTGTTTAAATTACATAGAATGCGTCAAGATCAACGAATTTGCTGTATATATATATGTAAAAGAATCAGCGCAACATTGTATTACCGAGTTAAATTCATAGATGCGCTCAAGTCGCTGACCACGAGCCTAACTCGTTCCGCCGACCAAATAAGTTAACGCACCGAATGAAATGTATTAGTAACTGTGAAATCTCTGTTTTATATTAGGGCGGCTGGGGCAAGCCTGGAACATTGCTCATGTGTGGCCTTACTAATTGGGAAATGGCTGGTCGCAAGGCACCGCCTAAGGGAGTGAAGGCGAACGTGGGACGTAGCCTGTGGACGCCGCACACCTTTAAAAATTTGAACGACGCTAGAGTACGACTAATCGCATCCGGTCCCGCTGCATCCCACAGCATTATCGTTACTGAGGATAATAGATGCTTGGCTTTTGGTAGAAACGATAAAGGTGAGCGATAACGCGTCTGTGTGCGATAACTGTAATAGTTATCGTTTCCTTTCTTATGAGGAAAAGGGTTCCCAAAGTGGACCATTATTCATATCATATTCCTTTGATCGCAAACCTCCAATCGACCTGTTGTAAAACCAGAACATGCATGCGAAAAGGGCTGGGATTGAATCTATCAGCGAGTCGACCGCTTTCATGCAAAGCCATCAACCCGTTATCACAGTTATCATTTTATTTGCTATTAAAAATTTAACGCTTACAAGTCTGTATAGATTTCACGCTAGCACAGGGCAACGTCTCGATAAACTTTTATATTCAGTGTCCTAGAAGCATTAATTTAAGCTTGATCAATACATATCAGCATCTAATTGTATTATAAATTTGCATGTATTGCGTTATTAGTTTTATTCAGACAATACTATTGCTGAGACCGCACGATTTGCATAGGTCAATTGGGTGTCGGAGACACGAAGCGTCGCGACGAGCCCACCGAGGTCGAAGCTTTAAAAGGACACACGGTTATAGGGGCGTCGTGCGGACGCAACCACACCTTATTTTTAACGAGCCGCGGTATAGTTTTTGCTGCTGGCGACAATAAACTGGGCCAATGCGGGGTCGGCAAAAATGACCCTTGTATCGTGACTGCCACCAAAGTTAAATATTCCGGACCGCCGATAGTGAAAGTGGGATGCGGCGCAGAATTCTCGATGATCCTGGACATCAAGGGTGGTCTACACTCGTTCGGATGCCCGGAGTACGGCGCTCTAGGCCACAACACCGACGGCAAATACTTCATCACGAATACGAAAATGGCATTTCATTATGAGAAAGCGCCTAAGCGAATCGTTTTGTACGTCGAGAGAGGTAAGGACGGCCACGCGACGCCGTTGGATCGCGTTGAGATCACGGACTTTAGCTGCGGTCACTATCACACCGTCGCGATTGACAGCAAGAACCGGGCGTTCTCCTGGGGATTCGGTGGGATTGGCCGTCTGGGTCACAACGAGCAGCGCGACGAATTGGTACCACGTCTGATCAAGTTTCTGGAGCCGCCCAGCCGCGGTGTCCGTGCGGTTTATTGCGGCAGCACGTACAGCATCGCGATTAACGTACACGGCTCCGCCCTGATGTTCGGTCAGACTAAGCGCACAGGCGAGGCCAACATGTACCCCAAGCCTATTCAGGATCTATCCGGTTGGGAAATTCGATGCGTCGGTTGTTCACAAACGAGCGTGGTGGTCGCGGCCGATGACTCCGTTATTGCATGGGGCCCTAGTCCTACGTTCGGAGAATTGGTAAGATGGGATTACCTTAAAGATACATATAGGATATTGTAATTTTTTTTTCTTCTATAGCGCTATAATTTAAATCTAATCTCGCCATCCAGTATGAAAGCACTGCGATCTTACATGAACCTTGCTTGCCTCATTAATTTCATTAATTGCAATGTTTGTGGAAAGGAGATGTAAGCCCCTTTATTCAATCTCCATTTTAAAAGATGCGAGTTATTTTAAAGCTTATTTATTGTTATTTGGAAGTTTCTGCGCACTGTGATTAGTTTATCTCCGGTTATTTTGAGAAGTTCATGTCTCGGGTACTGGTTTTATAACAGTGGAATATTTTTTCACACAAAATTTCTATTAATATAAATCATACGGAATGGTGATTCCAGGAATCAAAACCAGATCTTTTGCTTAATAAAGAACTGTATCTAGTATCGACCTTTCCAGCACCCCAAAATCATAGAATTAAATATGCCCTACTCGATTGATTCTAAATGATTCCCTAAGATATACCTTTTTATTTTTTCTTAGGGTTTTGGTGAAATGCGAAAGTCGTCGACGACTCCGATGGAGGTAAAAGCCTTGGAAGGTTTATACATTACTGCCGTTACATGTGGTCTGTCTCATACACTTATGATCTGCCGAGACGATACCGAGGAGGAAAGGGCCGAGATTAATAAACTCCAGGTGTACTCTGTTTAAAGTATATTCTTCGATTGCGTAAACGGGTCTCCATTGCGTCGCTATGCAGATGATCGAATCAGAAGGAAAACGTTCCTTCGATGATTCACAGCTAGGTTTCAACGAGTTTGAACAAAGTATCCGAGAAAGATAACAAGTAGATTGCCACGAAACGTCCAGAAAAGAGATATAGGATTAGATATTATTCTACTTTGTACTTCCAGTTTTTACTTAACGCGCGAATGAAAGTCGATCTGTGTAACATTTGAAACCCATTCTGTTAGCAGCTCAGGTTAATAGACCAAACAAGATAGATGCAAAAAAATATATTTTGATACGTTGCTATTTTATTGAAGTTTGCTGCAATTTTCATCGGAATGGAGATAGTTATTCGTAAGGAGAAGCTGAAGAACTGTAAAGAGAACTGGTAGAACTCAGAAGCAATTGCCTTCATTTTTATCGCTTTCTTAATCGATTTACCTATTCAAATAGTTTATATAATTGATTCATCACAATAGTACCTGAATCATTACATCTGCAGGAATCGTTTTTTTACAATGCATATATACAGGGATAATCCCTGAATAGGATTAACGCGAGTGAGCCATTCAACTAGGTAATATTTTAACGGTTGTACATGAATTAAATTCCGCGATATGTGTTTTATTAAATTCATAGGAGGATAATTTAACAATTTTTTTTAATGTAAAATGTCGCCTATATGGAAAGCATTATATATTTTATTTTATTTTTAATAATATATTTTAATATACGTATGTAAAATTAATTTTAATGAATATTATTTCAAAATGATAAAAAAAGAACTATGGAAGTCACAAATTGTCTTTTTTTTGTTGTTGGATTATGATAACAAGAGAATCCATCAAATTCAGGCGATTGATGATATGTATTTCGCATTTTAAGGTCTTTCTTTCAAGATAAATCATATTACACACATTTCTCGTATACCATTATCGTAGATGCATTAAAAATGTTTGGTCGAGTACACAATAAAAAAACAGAATGAATCAGAAAGTGCGTCTAGTACCTCGTGTACTAATAAACTTATAACTCCGATCACTGCCAGGATGTATTATCAACATCTTTTATTGTGATGTTCAGATATTCATTCCATTCCGTTCCACGTAATACTCGTGCGTTTTCTGCACCGAAATATTCTTCTGATAAACTTGCGATGAATGTACAAGTCCAAATAATGAAATAAACGAATTTTTTAAGAAACTTCCGTCGAAAGCTTTTGTCCTATTTAATAATTTTTAAGAGAAGTGTCCGTTTCAATTTTTAACAATTTTCAATAAATTTTATATTGTCCACCATTCAGTGCAATGTCGCTTCTTTTTGCGGATTCAATTTGCTTGTATCAAGTGCCGATATTGGCACTTTTATACATTTCCAATAACACTCTTTGATACGATACAATTTTTGCCGTTCTGAATATAAGTTGCAAGCAACATCTCTTACGACAGCTTTATTTAAACATTTATTTACGGCGTTTTTTACTTCGCGTTTTTGCTAGTTGGTAAAATTATATATTATAAACTATATGAACTAAAAACAAATCAATATAATGCTTTATATATTAGTCAAATTTCACATTTTACTAATATACTTCCTTTCTAAAGAATGCCAGATATATTTTTTTACCATAAGCGTTTGATCTAGTGTTGTCGCAACAGAAGCGATAAATTGTCGAGCACTATGCATTTCCTTTTGTGAAACATTTCCATATTTCCAACGTAGCAATTGGTGTGCTATGTAATGATTCGGATCTGTCGGCTGATATCTCAAAGCTCTACTTATCGCCCACGATAGTGGTATCATCACATTTTGTCTATGTATTATATACATGCGTTACACAATTTATTACATATTATCGTACTTATTTCATGCAAATTCAACACAGCACATTTATAAACCGCCATAAAATACCTCAAATAATCGTTTCTCGTCAAAGTTTCGCCAGCTTGTTCTTTCGGCAACGAATTCAAATAACAAATGCACGTGGCAAGGTTTGTTACGATAGAAATATCTGAAAAAGCCGTTTTACTTGAACTGCAAGAACAAGATGTCTTCAATGAATTGTCGGATACAGTGTCAGACGTTTTCCCCTCCAGGAAAGTAGAGTGTGATTCCAATACAGTTAAACTGCATTCATGTAATATTTCCTGTCGATTATTTCAATTTCAAAGTAGATTATTTATCGTTTGATATAATGTGCGTTTTTATCTAATGTCCTTTGAAATCAATTAAAACACCTCAGTTATTCCTAAAGCTTCCTTCTTTCTGTATTCGTTATACCCAAGATCAATTAAAATATTTTCAACTTCATCATCAATACCGTTCTCTCCTACATAATTACAAGTGTCCTCATCCATCCCGAGTTTTTTCAGAAAACGGATTATCGTTGGTGAAGCCGGCTTGGCTTTCCCCTGCCAGTTCAGAATTCCTGGGACGTCGATGCCGCTCGATAAAAGCCGACATAATATGCTTTCATCTTGAGACACCAATCCGCACGTAACAATGGTCCAGCATTGATTTTCGGTTAATCCAGTAGCAACCAGATTCCAGATCAATCTACCATCAAGTTTCTTCGTCCATGTATCTACGTCTATTTCTGCCCCGAAACCGTAGAAATATTTCAGTTCCTCGGAAGTGAGACCGAGGAGACCATACTTCATTGCTTTCATGATACTTCGTAACGACATGCCTAAAATTTACTATTCAATGTAATAAAACGACAAGCAACAGGACGGATGTGTACAGAAATCTCCGTACGAAAAAGTCTTGATACCTTTTCCTTCTAGTTCCAGTAAAATACATTCATTATACATTCCACTATGGATAATAAAATGTAATGATTTATCACATAACGCATCACATGATACATCGGTGCACGCGGATAAAGATTTAACATTATTATATCGCACAAGTTTGTCCTTTAACAAACCGAGCAATTTCTCGTTACTCCATTCACCATAAACGAGCATTCCTTCATTTGTAAATTTTATATGTAACTTCGTTTCACGTAATGCCTCTTCGTTTTGTGCATCTAACATTTTCAGGATAGATGTAAATTGTAAGCCAATACGAATAAAGATAGAGATAGTATTAAATAATTCTACGAAGCTATTACAGATGTCAAAATACAAGCTAATTATTTAGGCAATTGTTATGGATTGGTTATCGTTCATCACATGACATTTTTTTACATTAAAATGATATCGCACATCCAGGAATGTTTTTTTTATTTACAAATGAATAAATTATAATACATAATTTATCTCAGAATTTGCGCTCACAATATGCTGGTCTCTAGCTAGTGTTAAAAGAAGCAACTTTTTTTTATTTAATAAAATGGTTTTTTAGTAGTAATTTTTAAATGAGCAGTTATGAGAAGTTAATAGATTAGGTTTACTGCTTCTAATTCATCCTAAATGTTTTCAAATTTAAATTCTGAATCTGTGATCCCCTTTGTTATTTCTTATTTTTATAAATTTTAAGAGTGAAAAAGAGAAAGGGGGAAAGTGAGAACGAAATGAGAGGGAGGAGAGAGAGAGAAAGAGAGAATTAGAAAATTTTCAATATCTCTTATTAAATAAATCGTTTTATAAATAGCGACATTTAAATATCACGTAAAGTTGCTATAAAACTTTTAGAGAAATAATAAAACGGCACGTACAGCGCACGTCGTCGCCTCGATTCATCCGTAACTTAGAGCGCTTATTCGTTAGCTTCAAATTGCTCGAATGCATTTTTGCCCGAGAAAAAAGTTGCCTCTTCTGGCAGAGGATCGCATTACGCACGTATACACGAATTCTAGGATATACTATATATCACTACCATACAGTTGTATTGAAATCTCCGTAAAATATATACTCTCCGATTTCTCGATACAGTATATATTCATTGATAAGAGATATTATATTGTAGCACCTCTAGAAATTAGTACACAATCAACAAAGTAACAACAATGAAACAACATCCTTAGATACATTTTTACAGTATAATACATGCTTTTTTCAAATGTACAACGATATGCGTCAAGCGCACGTATTGTGCAAAATATAAAACGACAAACACAATCGAAAAAGACTATACAAATATTTGAATTCACTTGTACAAAAATGCGATCGATACTACCGACTACGACCCATACAAATGTCTTATTGAGTGTTTCTTTAGTATTTGTAAAATCATGTATTTACACAAACACAAAATTTTGCTTCACACCGTAGATTCCGATGCCAGATTCAACCTAGTCTCTAACGACAGTTTGTACGTTTAGATGTGTACGTGATATAAGCAAGTATACATGCCTTTTTTCGGATAAGTTTTGTACGATCTGAATATATAGCACGTGTGAAATGGTGACCTATTACGTTTGACCCTTTCCATGTTACACACACTCAATGTCTCTCGAAATCTACTTCTCGCGCAAGATCTTCAAATTTAACACATTCATATACACTATCGTTGCGAGCACATGTACTTTTTCACAATCCATTACAGCAAGCTGCAATAGCAATTTGAGTACGCATCCTGCTGTTGATTATCATTGGTCAACTGCATTCCTCGTTTTCCCATTCGATGTCTCGCGCCACCCACGGTACCATTGTCGTACAATCGCAAAGAATGAGTATCCCAAAGACCAGGTGTTTGTATTATCTATTATACACAACATATATGTTACAAAGCGTCATAAATAATCAAAGATACCAGTTATAAGTGGCACAATCTTTGACAATCATAAATAATATAATTATAATCTATCCTGAAACATGTATCCACATAAAATTGTATAAATTCTATATATCTACCTTTTGTACGAGTTCCTCAAAGCAACACTTTACACCGTCCGCCGTTTTTGCGCTGCTCTCGATATACAAGGTCTGATGCCTCCTGGCAAATTGTAGGCCCTCCTCGGTGCTCACTTCTCTATTCGGCAGGTCTATCTTATTGCCCACTACCATCTTGACGATGTCCGTTTTATTGCAGTACGTATTTAACTCGTTGAGCCATGTTTCCAATTTCACAAAGGTATTCCGATCCGTTACGTCGTACATTAAGATAGCACCCTGGCCATCTCTGTAATAACTCGGCGTTAAAGTGCGAAATCGTTCCTGGCCGGCGGTGTCCTGTAAACAGCGCGTTTCGACAAAGCTGTAATGTAGGCTGAAGTCCACTTGACGCTACAAATGCTTTGAAGCATTCTCCTTCTTCTTCTTTCTTTATTGAAAGAAAGGAGAAGAGGAATGCTTCGAAGCATTTGTAGCATCAAGTCGACCGCAGCCGTAATATGTCGCGTAGATTACATTATTTTGTCGTCGCGAACAAAATTACGATTACAAACCCAAATCGCGAGTTTCACCACATTGCCGTCGATGTTGATCTGCTTGGTCTTGTAGTCCATGCCGACCGTACTCTGCATGTTCTCGTAGAACTCATCCTCGGTAAACCTCAGTAGTATGCTGAAAACAATTGTAATAAACAGATCAGTGTTTCGAGCGTCATCATCGATAAATGAGGAATGAATTGCACTTTGCGAGTTACCTTGATTTCCCTACATTGGATTCGCCTATCATGAGGATCTTTAGTATCGTCAGAACGTCTTCCTGATCCATAGTGATTCGGCTGCACCTCGCGATGTATCAACCGATATTTGTCTAGTGGTGCTGAAAAGAAAAGACACCGTCTCGCACTCTCGCCTTCCTCGTAACGTCGCCAAGTTGCGTATCGTGACGTTAAACGTTAAACAACACCACCCCGCCAGTCCCGCCACCCGCCACCGTGCCTATGTCGCGCTGGTATATACAGGGTGTACCAGAAAGATGGGTAACCCGAATTAACTTTTAAACGGATGACGTTTTTGAAAAAAATTAATTATTAATTACAAAAGTTTTAGTTTTGGAAATGGGCGTCTGGTGGTGAACTTGAACTTGACCTAGGTTCAGGACCTAGGAGAAAGGATGACCAAAACGTCATCCGTTCAAGTTAATTTGAGATACCCATCTTTCTGGTACACCCTGTATATGTATATATGCATATATATGCTACTGTGATTGTGTGATGCAGTGTGGTGGGCTGTATCATATACAGGGTGTCCCTTTGAACAATTGCTTCTCCGGCCAGACAGACTTGAATCCTGAGATTGCCTGATTGTGAGATGTTATTTTAGCTGGATGTTGGGTTGAAACCTGCCCAGATAAACTTCCGAAAACCTCTCACGCCCGATTTTGATAAAATTTTATAGGTATATGTATACGAAACCTACAGTAGGTACTTTTGGTTACAGTGTTGAGTTCCGGAAATGCTTATATAGTTTAGAAAATTTAATTTTTCGACAAAATTAACGTCTTTCATGTTCTTGTAATAAAAAAAATTATATCTCACTCTATGAATTGAGACATTCATAAAATTTAACATTAGAAAGAAGATATATAACCAATTGTTTGTGTGGGTGGGAAAGTGCGTGGCGTGGATGCAGTAAGTCCGCCCTCCCCTAGGCCAGGGGGGCTTTATCTACGAAAAAACTAACCTAATCTAACCCGAACCAGTATTGTTTGGCTCCGCCCCTTCCCCTGCAGCAGGCGATATGGGTGGTGGACCTCGTTTCACGTAATTCACGTGGAAAGTTGTAATGAGTTTTATCACATACTAAATCATAATTTTCTAAAAATTAGAAAATAATTAAACGTAAATAAAAAGAAATGCTTAAATTTTTAATTTTTTAAATAGACTTATTATGTCTTCAACCAGATCGAATATCTCTTTTTTTCAAAATGGCGGATCCAATACGGCGACAATAATTTCAAAATTCTTACATATTTGCACAAAACTTGGTATAAAAGGATTTTCGAGGTCACTGATTTCGAATATAATGTAAAATTTTGAAAATTTAAAATGGCGAATCTAATACGACCGCCGTAATTTCAAAATTCTTACATATTTTCACAAAAATTGGTACGTGGAAGTTTTCAAGATCGCTATGATTTAATGACAAAATTTAAAAATTTAAAATGGCGGAATGGGACGATTACGATAACTTATTTGGCCCATTGAAATGTGTGGTTTTTGGAAGCATTTTTAACAAGGAACACAGGAAAAATAGTAAAAAAATTCTATGATCAATATTTGTTTATATTTCTAAATTTTTATTCCAGTTTTTAGAAATAGGCTTGGAGTTAGATTACTTTTTTTATGCGAGAGAGGAGCTCCGCCGCAGGCGGATTACGATTTACATTCAAAAAACGTAAACACGCAAGAATTAGAGCGAGATCCACCCCACCGGCCACCCCACCCTGGCTTGCTTATGGGGCGAAACAAAAGGTTCATTATTGTACGGTTCGGGTTTTCAAATTTCCATGCGAACCGAGGTCTACCCACACTCACCCCTGCTTGCGGGGGAGGGGCGGTAGCCATTATACATGTATATTACATGTATACTGCGAGCGTCAATTACGTGAAAAGGCACCTTTACGCTCCAAATTAAAATTCTATCGAAACAATTAAAGCTCTCATCAGCTGAAATTAATCCAAATCAACTGGAGCAGGTAGCTTAATTTTTTACGCCACGTAGCTCGCTCAAGCTCGCTTCTCGCGAGCACATAATCTCTTCCTTTGACCGAAATCAGCTGACGGAAAAGTCATTGATCAAGGGAGCTGTCATCGAGAGGAGTAACCGCGGAGTACGCGATGCCCGGGACACCCTGTAGATTTGAATCAAAGCTCGATTCGAGCCGGAAGAACGAAGAACGCGGCTGACTTCAGGTGCGCGAGCACCACGCGGTTTCGCGGTGCGCTCGCGACCTGTCGGATAAAAACGGCGGCGCGACATCTCTGATCGCGCGACGTACGTGGTACGTGCCCTCCGCACGCACGCACGGTCGCACGCACGTAGTACATACGTACTCGCGGCTCGCGGCTCGCGCTCGCGGTATTCACGGCACTCACGCATTCACGCAACGCGACGCAACGCTACGCTACGCATTCACGAACGCGCGCGCGCGCGCGCTACGACAACGGTGGGCGACAACGGGCGACGGACGGTGCGGACGGCGCGGTTACAACACCCGAGATTGTGTTGGTGATTAATCAAAAAAAGGCCGTTCGCGAAAATGGCCGATGGACGCGAGCCACGGTTGTTTTCCACGCGGAGCCTGTACCAGTTGTGCGTGTCCGCGGTGGTCGACAGGTTTCGCACTTACAAACCGTGTCTCACCGATCTGCCCAAGAGCGTGCGCTTCGATCTCTACTATCAGGTAAAAGGACGACGTCAAGCTGTCGTCGTCGTCGTCTCCGGCGGCGCAGCGACGATTACGGGAGGCGAGGGGGAGACGATCGAGATAACCGCGCGCGCGATGACAGTCACGCTTGTTTTTGTATCTCCGCCTCGCCACCCTCGAACGGGACGAGACGGCATTGTTCTCGGTCGTGCCCCGACGTTTCCGACGACGTCGACGACGACGAGGAGTTTACGCGAGTCGTGCCGAGGATCTGACCGTCCGTCCACGGCACGAGCGAACTCGACGCTCCGTTTTCGCGATTCCTCCAAGACGGCCGATCTCGATCGACTCCGATTGATATCGCCCCGCACGCGCTTAACGGTAACAGCCTTCCGTTGACCTTCATGGGGTTTGATCTCTTTCAGCTGTACAGAGAGAGGAGACTATGCATACTGGGGGCGGAATTAAGCGATCTGGAGACTTTCTCCAAGATGCTCAAGGTCACCAATCGGCGATTACACCTCCTGAGAATATTTCAGGTGAGCATGTCACGTAGGAATCCTCGAGAGTGACTTGGACCAGATTTGGATCAACTTAATCGGCGATTAATCCGATTAATCCTGGAGCTGCCTAAAGTGAAATTTTAATTTGCTATTTCTAACCCGGTCTTCTTTTCCATATGTTAAACAAGAAATCAGTTCTATTCATATTAAGCACAAGTATTATTTGACGAGTTTAAACACCGATGTTAATCGAAGTTTGGTTGATGACATGTTGATGGCTGTCACCCATCATACTTTTCCTCTGACGTCAGAAAATATTTTGCCTTTTTTTGTATTTTCGTGACCGAAGGCACCGATGGACCATAAGATAGGGATAGCGGGACATCTGGTCCACCATTACGGCAGGGTATGCTGCTCAAGTCCCTCTTCGCCAGACAAATTGATAAATCTAGGTTTGAGACTCGGTGGATTTCTCAGCGACGCCGGCTGGTATTTGGAAAGTAAAAAGGTGCTGACAACCTGCAAGGAATTGTGTGTGAAATACAATGACACCCCCAAGGATTGGTGCAGAACATTGGATTGTTGTCACAAGTATGAGCGTTGACATATATTAGTTTTAATTAATGTCTGCGAGTAGAATGTAACATCGTGTTTGGCGACAAGCTCGTGCGCATGTGTATCTAGTTGACAGATCTTTAAGCCCCTTGCACAATAGGCGATAGCGATAGCGACAGCGATAGAGTTGCCGACAAAGCAATACTATACCGACTATACCTTTGTCGGCAACTTTGTCGCTGTCGCTATCGCTATCGCCAATTGTGCAAGAGGCTTTAGATTATCAAATTTTTGTACCGAGCAAGTTTCTAGCGGGATTAGAAGAATTGTATATCTTGTCGATTGACATTTTAGGCTGTTACATGCACAAGCGGCATACTGCGACTTTGAGAAAGCTGCAGAGACTCATCAAATTGCCATGAAAATGATAGAAAAGTTAAAGAGCGAGCAGTACAATAATAGCAATCATGCTGCCCTTTTTGCAGAGTTCAGTGTACTATTCTATATACGCAGTGAATACGACGAAGCTTACAGGTGCTTACCTAATACATATTATTATATTTTCCCGAAAATGAATTAAAATTGCCAGAAACTTTTGACTTAATCGATCTCTTGTAAACCAATATAGATTGAGGTTCAAAATCGAATTAGAAAAAGATGAAAAGCAAGTTAAATCGAGATTAAAGTTAATTTACATTGACAGAAATGGACATAATGTTTGTTTTACATAATTTCTACTCCTGACGTTATATGTATATGTACTAATACTACCCACCATCCAGATGGAGCATAGAAGCGTTAAAACAATTGAAACCATCGCTTCCCGCGGGAATCATCGTCGACGTTTTGAGACAAGCAGCGAAGTCATGCGTGGTGAAGCGAGAATTCCAAAAAGCCGGTTTGCTGATTAAGGAGGCCGTATATCTCGCGAGAGAAGTATTCGATACGGATCATCCGAAGTATAGCGACGTTCTCATCGATTACGGATTTTTCTTACTAAACTTCGATAGCATCAGCAATAGTGTAACTATATACAAGGTATTTATCTCCAGACATCTTCAAATCACCGCGCGAATCACCGTAATCTGTGCAGACTATTATTAAAACCGTTCTTGTATTTTAGACTGCGTTAGATATTAGAAAAACGATTTTTGGCAGGACTAATCTTCATGTTGCCTTAGCACACGAAGACTTAGCTTACGCTCTCTACGTACACGAATACAGCTCTGGCAGATTTGACGATGCAAGGTAATCACGTGTGGAATTACATCTGGCTTATCGTATATATTATACGGTACGATTAACTCTCATTTTACAGTGATCATGCTGGAACAGCTATAGATATCATGGAGAAACATTTACCCGCGAATCATTTGATGCTCGCGAGTGCTAGGAGAATAAAGGCACTTATTCTCGAAGAGATAGCTATAGATAACGCGTCCACACCGTTGTCTGAACAGAATCTCTTACTCAAATCCGAGTGTCTTCATTTGTCTGCTTTAGAAATGTCGAAAACTGCGTTTGGCGAAAGAAACGTACAAACGGCGAAACATTACGGAAACTTGGGCCGCTTATACCAGAGTATGAGGAAGTTTCAGGTATCTCGATGCATAGAATAAAGACTGATATAGTATGTATATACACGCTGCATATTTAATTATTTCGTTGTACGTTCAATGTGTTCCAGGAAGCGGAAGCGATGCATCTGAAAGCTATTGGTATTAAAGAAGAATTATTAGGACCCGATGATTATGAAGTAGGTTTGAGTATAGGGCATTTAGCTTCATTATACAATTTTCATATGAACCGGTACAGAGACGCCGAAAAGCTTTACCATCGTAGTATCTCGATCAGTAAGTATATATGTTTTGAATTGTGTTTATCATGACACAAAACGCTATTACATTTCGCAAAATTTTGTTTCGACAGGCTTAAAGTTATTCGGAAAGGGTTATAGTGGTTTAGAATACGATTATCGAGGACTTTTACACGTGTATAATAAGTTAGACGATTATGAAAAGATATTGGAGTACACGGATATATTGAATCATTGGAAGGAGCTTAGAGATAAACACGCTCAATCTGAGGAACCACCGATTGATGTACAAAAACGTCCACAGCCAATCGCAAACGTAATGAATGTGTTCTTTTCCATGTGATATATCAATAAGTGTGTCTAATTCAAATTTTATGTCATTGTATATCATCGAGCAACTTACTGGTCCGTTGCGTTTACAAGACATTTTTGGGCCAAAGTAGGGAAAAGAAAAAAAGTTATTAAGTCGCAGAAATTAGAAATTTGTAAAGCATTGATCTGATCGTACGAGTAATACAGGTGACTCTTGAATAACACGGTACTTGGAACTGCACGGAGTCTCGAGTAGCACGGCAAAAAATTGTGGCAACCCTTGAACAACACGGTACTTGAGTGAAGTTGGAATAACACGGTCATTCAATTAAGGCTCCTAGTCGTAGCAGTAGAAATAGGGTCATTTCTCGCCTCAATAGCAAGAACTTAATATGACCACGATGACTACCCAGGGGGTCGATTGTGTATTTTATATTGGGGGTATTACATGAATCACCATTTAAGAAATCATTCGAATAATGCAGAATTTATAAGAGATATCAAACTCTCTTCAGCAATCAAGGAGTAATCACATTGCACGAGTTTTTTTGTGCTTCCTGTAAGTATTCGAAGAAGTCCATATTTCTCGTACCAATATTTATTAAAATGTATTTGGGGATAACGTACGTAGTTGTCGTGACAGAGAGGAGTAGTGTATAGTTGAAACGAATTGAAAATTACAAAAGTGAACAGATTTACTAGAAGTCGACAAATAAAGTCGTAGATACTCTAGTGAATTTCCTCACTTTTGTAATTTTCACCTCGTTTCAAGATACGCAATCGAGCCCCAGGAACCTAAAAAAATGCACATACTTAGAAGCGGGAGTAGATCTTGATATATATATATTCTAGTAAATTTGAAAGAGATATATATGTAATCTCTTAAAATTTGAACGAAATATATATATACATATAATCTCTTAAAATCACATGCCCAATTTTATATGGATCTGGAATCTTGACTTGCACGGTTTTCAATAACACGGAACTAATTAATCGTGTTATTCGAGGGTTACCTAATAATTCTGTATGTCTTATGTTGATATTTTATAACATTAATAAATTAAGTAATTGTCAGTGCGATATTAATTCAAATTTATGCAGTGTTAATTTAATGATATTAATTCAAATTTATTGAAAATGTTAATTTAATTTATAAATTATTTGAAGGGTACAGAGAAAAAATGATCTATCCTGAGTAATTTCGAGAAAGACGCAATTTTAAGTTTTAAGACATTAGAATATCTTAAAAAGCTATTGAAAAAAGTACTAGCAGTAAATACTAAGTATCGAAATGCATAATGTTTATTTAGTATTTACATTGTATGTTGGATTCTGATGGATTCTTCCGCACAAACACGTGGATTATGATCGTTTTTCCCCAGCACGATATATTTGGCGTTTCTTTGAAAGTTCCATGTTTCAAGATAACATGATCAGATCAATTTCGACAAAACATAGCTTTCCCCTTGTTTCGTTTTTCCCTTGTACCTTTCATTTTTATTAGTCACGATACTGCAATATAAACATTGAGGGCTTCTTTTTTTAGTTTGAGTTGCTGTGCTTGTGTTGAATTATATTAGACTCGATGTTTATCTACGTTTTATCTCGATGTATTGAGAATTTTTGCGCATAAAAATATATCTTTTTTAAATATTTTGTATTTACATACGTCATTTTAATATAAATTTGCCAATGTTTTAATTTGATTTGTATATATATTTTATACTTTACGATTCGCTATTCGTTGACAGTTTTAATTTTTAAAGAGTTGTGCTCAGGTTTCGTATAAAATATTTTTTTGTTACGATTGCTTATCAAACGCATTTATAATACGTTTAATTCATTGTTCGTCTCAAGATTACAATGATCGTAAGTTTTCACGCATCGCATAATTTTTAAGTAACACAAAAAATATTTGAAATACATGCTCCTGTGTTTATAATAGTAATGTAGATGACGAGATAGGTATTAAAGCTATTAAAACTCGGTGAACAATTTGTTGAACAGATGCTTTGCTGTATGAAGTTACCTTTTCACCTCATAAAAAATTCGACATTTAAAAATACATCCTATATACATACTACTGCTCAAAAGTATTTGCCACCTCAAAAAAATTTGATCAGGGATGAGTTTATTAATGAAATTTTAATGAAAAAGCCAATAATTTGCTACATGTCTTTATTGCATAGATAGTTACATGTTATTTAAACAATAATTTGACAAGAAAATAACTTTTAAATTTTAGCTTCATCAATATGTCCGTTTTTTTTATTACAGTTTACATTACACAATTTTGGCATGTTGATTAATTTTGTAATTTATTTTTTTTACTTCTAGATATACCAACGTGATGATTTCGGAAAATGTATTTATTATTTGAGATTTTCCGTACGAAAAATAATTACATGAAATTAGAAAGTAAAGGATACCAATATAACATTAGTTTTGTGTAAGAATAAATACATGTAACAATAATCTCCACTTTAAATTAAGTTTACTTCAAAAAATTAGAATTTTTTTCTAAGGTGGCAGATACTTTTGAGCGGTAGTGTATATTCTAAAATTTTTGTTAAGCATTTTGTTCTTGTATGAATATCGTAATACCTATATGAATATAGATAACTAAAAATTATAAACGCGTGCATGTCCTTGGACTGTTCTAGAGATATTTTGAGATAATTAATTTTTCAAACTCTCCAAATTATTTACAAGTATTTTTTGCAGATTTGTATCATTTCAACCTTAAAAATTCATTCAGGCACTTTGGATGGATATCGAACGATAGTATTCACCCACTGTAAACTTGTATAATTTAATAGATGGTAAAGCCTCTTTGATAATTCAGACACTACAAGGGTAGCAGTCGTAGTTGACAATGTAATAATCTATTTAGTGGTATTGTACAAATTTAAATTGATTGCTGGGGTTTAAATAGATTACATACTATCAACTGCACCTTAAGTTCTTATTGCCCTCGCATTGTCATTACATTATTAACGATTGTATTAAAGCTAGCGGTTATAAGATAACAAATAATTGTACATTCTATTTTGTTTAATCAACAATTAAAAGTATCAATTCAATTGCTAGTTTTTATTAAAAAAAAAAAGATGCAGGAAAAAATTAACCCTGCAACCGTACACTCTTTTTCGGCACCTTTTTCAACAAGATGTTCCTTGAGATCTTAACTATAAGTTTAAACAATAATATTATAAAATTAATTTTGCAATTTAATTCTTGAAAAAAAAGCATTTTAAAAACGCACCGTAATGTTTAAAAATTCATAACTTTTATTAATTAACTTGTTAAGAAAAATCCTTCTAGGTATTTTTACTTTATTAAAGTTAGGTACTTTCAGAAAAAAAATATAAGAAACTTCGGGAATTAAAAAAGGGTATTTATTTGAAAGATCAAAAATCGCTAATTCTATATGGCGACTTATAGAGGATAAAACTGAAATAAAAAATAAAATATCGATTGTTAAACTACAAAACTTCGTAGGTAAGTCCAAAAATATCCAAATTTATTATTTTAAGTAAATATAATACAGCAACACAATTTTTTTTACGGAGCAATCGCCTGATGTCATCATTGTTTCTCATTGCCATTTTACATGAGCAATTGAGCAATAATTGAGTCGAAACTTTTGTAAAAATTTATATTTTGAGTAAAAAAAAAGGATTTTTGAAAAGTTGAATTTTACCTATGTATAATATAAACCGTATATGTGGGTCGTTGACGTCCTCAATAAAAGTTTACTACTCGTAGTCACAAGTAACGGATTTTGGCGGGCCTGTGGCCTCACACTTTCTCCACCCCAAACTTTTTTTAGAGACCGTTACGAACGCGCTAAATAAACAAACCTTTGGAAAATACCACATAGTCAAAATGCCCAGGACGCAAACGACTAACATGTACGGTTGCAGGGTTAAGTAAACAAAAAATATTTCCATCAAAAAGAGTTAGATGTCTGTTTCTCTTTCATAGACACAAAACTTTTAATTGAATATCTGAGAGATCGTAATTAAATAAAGACAAGATAATGTAATATAAATACTCACGATTCTTCTGAACAACTCACATACATTCAAAAGCTTTAATCTGTTTAAATTACAGTAACCATTAGATAGTACATAACTTTATATTTACACGATATCTGTTGTATCACTCCGGTTTTCAGGTAATAGGAATCTTATCTAAATCCCATTTTTACGCTATCAACATTTCTAACTCTCTCTCTTTTTCTCTCTCTCTCTCTACAAAAAAGGAGAGTCATCTATGGCCGGTATTCATAGTCGTATCTTATATTTAAGACCGCGTTAAGTATACGATCTTAAGATGTTGTGAACCACGCACAGAGCCATATTAGCATCTTAAGACAGTCTTGATATAAGATTCGACTATGAATACGGGCCTTAGTCACCTTAGATCGGTATACTTTTGAGACATACCAATCAGTATATTACCAGACTGATATTGCATGTCTTATTAAACTGTGTTAGAATCCCGTAACTTTAGAACATTTAGTCAGGTGTATGTGGAGGTTCTTGGCTGAAGTATGGTGCGGTATCTTGCACTAATAAAGTATGACAAACATCACAGACTCTGGATGGTCTTTGTTTCGGCCCACTGTTCACAACGTGTGAGAGGCAAGATTGACAAAATATATGGCCACAGTGACGACAATGTACCTGCATGATGTTAAGCCTCTTTAATTCTGTTCTATATGTATATACACAGGCCATAATAATTTAACTCGCGCTTCTTCAACTTACCTTCTTTTTTGTGACTGAGAATGTGGTGTGACAACTAGGACACTCTTCGACATCCTCTTCATGTTGCCATCTTACTTCGCTACCTGCCTGTCTAATCCTTTCCAGTTGTACCTGTGTGATCGTCAAAATAATGTTATTTTATCGGTATATCACAGTTCTACTTATAGTTTAATACAGTTAGTTATCTTTTATCTACAAATTTTTTCGACAATCTTTAATCAACTTTGTATCTCGACAATTCTGAATTCATTGTTTATATTATTTCCATTACCTGTAATGATTGTGATAATCGAACAAAGTCTTTCTGTACTGCCTCGCTGGTATCTAATTCTTGCTGTAGACTCATAACTCTTTGTCGTAATTCAGTTGTAACCGAGTCTGCATCCTTCTTCTCTTTCTGAACTTCCTGCAGCTGTTTTTCCAACCGATCAAGTTTCTCTTCTTTATCGGCGAGTGTACGATGATCTCTTATATATTTATCTAATTGCGCTCTGTAAAATGTGGAACGGAGTAAAGTTTTGTGTTAACAATTATGGTATCAAGCAATCGTAATTTATAATAATTTTATTGTCGTATATATAGTCAATGTATATAGCCTTACCTCAACCCACTTATTTCATTCTTTAATACAGCATTGTCTTGTTCCTTAACCCTACTCTCCTGCTCCATTTGTTCTCTCAGTAAAGTAACTTCGTATCGCAATGTTTCTTCCTTCTCCTGTGCAACTTCTTGAGCCACTTTGGCTGTAATTAAATCTTCGCGAATTTTTAGAAGGCTCATATGCAGTTCCTCAACAGTGTTTGGCATGTTGATACTCTCACTTTGAAGTTGTTGCGAATGTTTACTATGTTTACCCACAAGATTTTCATTCTCCATCTGAAGTCTGAAAAGTTTGAATAAAGCTTTATTAATAAATACACCATAATATCATCTACCTCTCATTTTTACATATAATTTAACTTTGTGTGTATGTGTGTCCGCACACACACGCACATATATATACCTATATACCACTAAAAATAACTTTTTGATAGAAAGATTATCTTACGCAGTAAGATGTCTCTGTACTTCTTCTCTGCCTCGTGTCAATTTACAAAGTTCCTCCGATATACTCCTTTGAATTTGTTCAAAAGTTTTCTTCAACTCTAGTAAATTTTGCTGCGCCGTCTGCGAGGTGACGGTGAGCTCCGCAACTTTGATTTTATGCTCCTCTTTCTTCTCATTCCACTTTTCCTCCATCTCCTTTCGAAATTCAACTTCCTTAGCTAGATCCTCCTTTTGAGCTTGCAGCATACGTTGAGAGTCCAACAATTGCTTCTCCAAATCCTTGGCAGTCGCTTCTACTTTGACTAATTGCGCTTCGTAGTTAACGCACATATCACACGACGGCTCGAAGGAACCAGGTTCTTGCTGCCGTCTCTTTGTTAGAACTTCTTTATATTTTTGTAATTCGTCATCGGTTGATCTCAGTTTCTCCTTTAAAGCTTTTATCTCCTCCTCAAGTGGAACAACCAATGAACGTAAAACTTCCGCATCTTCTTGCGCCTATAGAATTAAAAGTTTTTATCGATATCGCGGCAAATCTTACAAATATCATTGCTGTAAGACAAGCGTTTGTTTTAACGTGTTTAAAGAGATTATGTTAGAAATAACTTAAATATATTGCAAAAGATATATATGCATTTATTAGCAAGCGATTACACAAAGGGTTAAATGTACCATGCAATTTTAGATTTACGTACATATTTTTTTACCTTCCGCATGCTTTCTTCTAAATTGTCAGGGCCTAAAGATAAGGAATCCGCGCCTAATTGCGATACCACTTTTCTAGCTAATGTCTTGGTTACTGTAGACAACGAGATTTGCGGCCCGTCCGTCGGCGGGTCGCGCGGCAATTGCGTTTTCAGCAGCGCATTCTCTTCTTGAAGCTTAGAAAGAGCCAGTTGTAATTTCGACACTTCGCTGACAAGCTGCTTCCTAGAGCAGGAGGACTCCTCCACCGTTTCGTGTATAACCTGTTGCAAAGATGCTATCTCCTCCTGGGCCTTCCTCTTCTCCATCATTATATCATTCTGTATCTTAAGATCCGCGACGACTAGTTGGCTCTTTGCTTCGTCCAGCTCATTCTTCAGTCTCAAATTTTCCTTCTGCAGGCCCATATTTTCCTCTAGCCTCCGTTTTAATTCCACTACAAAAATACATTGCTTCTAGGTATAACTGCCGAAGAGCTACTTGTAGTCCGGAGTATAAATATCGCGCATGTTACGTACCCTCTTTCTGAAGGAACAACTCCTTCATCTTGGCCCTTTGTACATTAAACTCCTCTCGCATCTTAACGTTCTCCGACTCCAATCGGCTGATCTTCGTCTGTGGATCCTCTGAATCGTAACAGACCTCTCTTAATGAAATTAAATCGCATATCGCGAGCGGCCTCGACATTTAACAAACACGCGCGCGACGTCTCGAAAAAAAGCCTGACAAGCGGATAGAGCTTTGCGCTTTCCTAACCACTGCGTTTAAATATCTCGTTTCTTTTTTTTTCGTATTTTTTTTTCTCTCGGCGTGTCGCGACGACGACACCGACAAAGACCTAAAGCAAGGACTACCGCTCGGTGACGTACCGTTTCCGTTCGCTCTGACCGTCCGATCGTCCTGGTTCTCCATCGTTCGATCACTTCACACGGACGTGACAGACGAGGGCGACAATTTTGCCGGGGCGGGTCACTGCCACGGACGCGAATTCGGAGAGCATATCTCGGAGCTCAGCCGGGACTGGTGGCCGCCTCTCGACGACGATGACGATGACGATGACGATGACGACGACCACGACGACGACGATGATGATGATGACGGCATGCCGCTGGCAGTGGCCAGTTGTGTCACTGGCTCATAGCGACTCGAGCGAAATCCGGTCCAGTCGTCCAGTACGCGAACAGGGACTCGCTCGAGAATAAAGATCACGGATCACGGAAGCGAACTCGGAAACCGGAATTGACCTCGCTCGGCCATCCAACGATTTCGCTAACGACAGCAACGATGCAATTCGCCGGACGATGCGTGCCCACCACTTATATGTAATCAGCGAAATCTCCGTTCCTCTAGGCTACACCTCTCGCATTCGCGATCCTCCGTTCTTCTCCCTTCGGGGGCGCGAATTACACCCGGACAGCCCGGACCATAGACCTGGGAAGAGATAGACCAACATTTCCAATCAGCAGCCACGTCCACGCCACGTCCATTTTCCGACACTGCCGATAAAACATAAAATTCTGATGCGCGTTCGCGCTATGTCCACAATAATTAGTAAAAAATTTTAAAAATTATTTAAAGATATATAATTAATTTTCTTGATTCACAATCGCATGTGGCATAAGATATCCATTTGTGGATGCAACGCGGATGTTTTTATCGACAGTGTCGGAAAATGGATGTGGCTACGTAGTACCAATTTCTAACACGGATGTATTGGCGGTAGTGTACAGGGGTCCCCCACGGACCAAGATGGCCTCTCTTCAGGCTTCGGCTTCTCTCTGACACTGATGAACGACACACAGCGATTCGAGTGTTGATCTGCGTTTCTTTCAAGGGAGTTCGTGTACGTTATGAGTACGTTGTGGAAACCCTGGATTGAAACCTTAAAAGTAGAACCGACGGATTCGGCGATCATGAAGAGCCTGGACAGCAGCCTGGACAACGATTTCGACAAGCTACCCGAGTTCAGTCCCAAGCTGTTCACCGCGGGAAAGAATCCCCCGGTGAACTGTACAAAGTGCCATAATAACAATAACAAGAGTTTCTTGTTGCTCAATGGATGGGGGAACCTGCAGGTCCTCAATGCGGATGAGTTTCTGAGGAAGTTGAACTGCGCGGAGAACGACAAAGTCAAAATCGTGTCGATTTTCGGGAACACGGGCGACGGGAAGAGCCACACCATGAATCAGGTGTTTTTCAAGGGCGAGGAGGTGTTCCAAACGTCAAACCAGCAGAACTGTTGTACGTTGGGCGTTTGGGCGGCGTTCGATCCAATTCTCAATGTTATTTGCTTGGACACGGAAGGTTTACAAGGTAGAATATATTCTGAGTTGTCATTCTCAGATTTTATATGTATAAGTTAATTGTGCGTGCCAGATTCAACAGGTTTACATTGTTTGTCTAGCTGTTGCGAGCTGTGAAAATGAACGGGCAAAATTACTGCTCAAAGTACTTGCGGTTTCCGACATTGTGGTTTATGGAATCCATTCCGAGAGGCTGAACAGGGATCTGTTCACGTTCCTGGGTACCGCGTCGCGCGCTTACAGCCATCACTTTAAAGCTGCCTTACAAGCGATCGGGCAGAAAGAGGGGATCTCTACTTCGTTGAGCACGCTCGGACCGAGTATTATAGTGCTGCACGAAACCAGGCACACCATACCTTTGATCAACAGTACATATTGCTACTCTCTCAGGATGACAGTAATTTCAAACTGAGAACTTTATTACGGCTGATAATCGCTTCTGTAACGTGACATGTTGATTGGTTCTTTTACAGATGGGGCGGAAAGTGCGGAAGATATCCTGAGGAACAGATTTACACAGATGAGTCTTGAAATTGACGCTTTCAGCTCTATTAAATACGTCGGTTTGCAATCGGCGAACGACACGACGGATTATGAGCTGTTGCGATCCACCATTGAGAGCGAATTGAATAATACGACGGTACGCTCAGCCAGAAAACCACATCTGGTGTACTACACGCTTAAGAGGCTGAATGATCAGTTGTCCAACGAAAACGGAAACATTTCCAATTCTCTATTCCCAGAACAGTATTTTACTTGTCCCGTCAAATGTCTGTGTTGTGGTAATGGTTGTGCCAACAGTATGGGACACCTTCGCGAAGGAAAACCACACAGCAGTAATACTAGGTTGGTACATAGATTTTTTTTTATACGCTGTTTTAGTTGTACATCTCCTTGAATTAACAATAATTGTTGCGATAGGTGCAAATTCCAATGTCAGTACGAAAATTTGATATACATATGCAAAAGGTGTTATAAGAATGGAAAAGAAATTGAAGTAAGCAGGCGGTATTATGAGGAAAATCAAAACAACTGGTATAGTTTTGCTAAAAATGCCTGGTCGGGATACATCATAGATTGTCCGCACTGTGGAGAAATATACAAGAGCAGGCAGTACTGGTACGGCAATAATCCCGAGGATGTTGCCATACGCAAAAAGATCACGCACATATGGAACATGGTAAGTATTGAGAGTAAGAAGCTTCTTTTTATTATCAAATTTTTTTTTGTCTATCTAACTCTAATTCTTAATGAAGTAACTTCTCACCGTCCTTTTTCTTTTTCAGTCGAATCGGTCTATAGCTTCTCAGAATACGGCGCAACGGGTTATCGATAGTGTTTCGTATATCAGTGAAGCTGTCACCAACGTTTCTCTGCAGCCAACGAAAGCGTTGAAAGCTTGGGCCGCGGATCAAGTGGCACCATCCTATTGGCGACCGAATAACGAGATAAAGCACTGCTATCAGTGCAAAATGCTATTTAGTCTGACGGATGACAAGCATCATTGCCGCGAATGTGGGGAGGGCTTTTGCGCGCAGTGCTCGTCGAAAACGAAATGCGTGCCCAACAGAAACTGGTACTCGCCCGTTCGGGTTTGCGACGCGTGCTACGAGAAAGATACAAACTGCTCCAGCGATGATTCTCTCGAACCTGTCGAGGACGTCGGCGTACGAAAAGTAACGGAGCACGTGGTGTCGACACTGAATGCCGTTGGAACGGTTTTCAGTTATTCCAAATGTAAGTAAAAGCGGTCGCACGTGCGATCATTAGAATTCGCGTAATTCTCAGATAAATTCTAAATATTCTTTATTTGCACACAGCATTCATAAAAGATACTGTACGACCATCTTATTGGATACCCGACTCAGAGGTGGTTAATTGTTACGTCTGCGAACGGAAGTTTTCCTCGATGCTTACTTTACATCACTGTAGAGCTTGCGGACATGGGGTGTGTCAAGAATGTTCGCAACACCGTAAGCCTGTACCTCACCGAGGATGGGATCATCCCGTCAGAGTATGCAACGCTTGCGTTTGAAAATTATTTGAAGGCGTGCGTCTTAAAGGAAACGGAACCCAAAAATTTATAGAGACCTCGGAATGGAAAAGGAAATATTCACTTGAAACGAAATACATTTATTTATTTTACGTAATTGCTTTTGTAAGATAAACAGAAGTATTGTACCGACTTAATCGTGAGCGTAGACTGTCTTAGATTTGTATGGCCAAATCGCGCACGTGACTGTAAGCTTTTTGAAAAGACTTTTTATGTGTAAACTAGAATTTTGACTCTTTTAAATTCTAAATAAAATTTTTAATTCAATATTTTTTATTTTCAACATTATCTCTATCTAAGGTAACGATGCGAATTATTTTGTACGACACGCGAAAGCTTTGTGATAAAATATCTGAGGGATACAATTTTATTACTTACATATTTTTAATATTAAATTATATAAATATATCTTGCTTATACATATTTCATCAAGTGAAAACTTTTTAAGTACATTTTTTACGATTGGAGATCGGGAGATCATAAAAAATTTTCAAGAATATAGAATTCCGTACCGAAAGTTGTTTGAAAATCGTACTTTGTTTAACTTGGTTTTTATAATTAGCAAATAATTTTGTGACTATATAAATGTACATAAATGTATGAGTGTGCCATAGTTATGATCATTACTGTTTGAAAGTAACTTCCTGAAGTGTATTAAAGACCGTACGTTACTTTTAACGTATAATTTTATTCTCTCAAAGGTACAGATTGACGTTGCGCTTAAAAATTGTTCGGTGAAGAGTTGGTTAAAGATTTATGTTAACGATAGGACATCCCTATATGATACAGCATTGACGTTTGTACATATGTACAGTTCTCTGATCTTCTCTGGTAACAATGACCGCGCAACAGTTGTAGGAAGAAAACCGTTTACAAGAAATGTTACTCTCATGGCTGTGACAATTGTTAATACCGGCATATGGCATTTGCAGATGCATATTCAGATAGGACGACGCGATGACGCGTCTTCGACAGTGGAAACTGTTTTACTTTTTATTTCGTTCTGTATATCATAATAAGCAGCTTCAAATAAAGTTTCGGATTCTCCGAGTAAGTCGCTGCCTTATATTTTACCTTTATTTCAAGATATCGACCACTTTTACAGATGATACGTGCGTACATCGCCAAAAACAGAGTCTAACAATAATTTCAAGAGGTTGAGAAAGAAGCGTGAAAATTCCTAAAGAGCCACGGTGTACAAATGCCTATTTAAATAAATAATTTTTTAAATTACATACAAGTTATATGTATAAAAAGGAAAAGTCACATGTTTATATGATTTTCCCATCCTCTTGTGAGTAGAATAGGCTGCTAAAGTGTTTGATTACCTATTTCTAAAACATACTGTATACTGTGGTATCGATGAGATTAAAAAACGATCAATTCCGGAGAAATTATATATGGAGACAATCAATGAAACCCTGGAGACAATTGAAGGTGTTATTGACTATGGAATTAAATTTTTGGATTACCAGCATAAATATATAAATAATTAACTTTTAATTTTAACACGGTATTCAATTTATTATTAAAGATGTTTCTGAAATAAAAATGCACATTTACAATGTAATAAATATATTCTGCCACAAAAATGTTTTTTTTTTTTTACAATTATTATTCGCATAAAGGCCACTTTTTCCAATTGTTAACACTAACTATTAACTCTAACCAATCGTTAAAATTTATCGACAGAATTGCCATCGTGAAGAGTAAAATATTGTAATTGAAGGAGAAAAAAATTTTCTCATTATTTATAATTAATATGGCTAATCCCTTTTATCTTATCTAAAAGATTCGGTTCGGATTGACTTTAGTTACAAATTCGGAAGTTGGCTATTTTAAAAAGTCAATAGTCAACATTAATAGATTATAAATTATAGTTCTAAAATTAGAATCAAATATTATCGAATCCCAAATATACGGCTAAATTTCAACAATTATCCGAATTTCCGTAAAATTGTCTTCAATAGTATTTTACCGAGTTCGAATTTTTCGTTTTTTTCTTCCCGCTTCGAGTCGAAAAATCGCGCGCGCGCGCGCGCGATATATCGAATCGCGATAGATACGCGTGGATACCCCGTGGTGGGGTGGGGGTATCCACGTGATGACGTCAAAATATGGCGTCTCGATCAGCTGGATGTTGTGTAGAGTGTGCCTGCCTGCGATGCCCGTGATGCCCGTCTCGCGAGAATTAACGGAGACCACCGTCTGCCCGCCGTGATACCGTGAGTTTATTCATCCGCGATTGGCGCAAGCGGCGACCGACCCGATCCCGCTCCCACGGGCGATGCGGTGCGGTGCGGTGCGGTTTCCCGCGGGAGAGTCGCGGCCACGCGAGTGCGAGACGCGCGGAGACGCAAAAGTGGTACATACATACTCGGGGGCTCGGGGGGGAAGCGACCGCACGACGACGGCGAAGTGAGGCTGTCGCACGCACGTGAGTGAGACCCGTTGCGTTCGCAAACGGGAAAACGGCGAGACGCGAATCCGCGAGATCGACGAGGTGTCCGCGGAGCGCGGCGCGACTCCGGGGAGCCGACGCCGAGAGCGGAGCAAAACCAGGCGCCTAAAACCCGCGTCCCGTCGCGCCCCTTTTCCCGTCGTCGACTCGCGAAGGCGACGCTCGGTTTATCTTATGTAATTCCCGCGAGTGCATCGCCGCGTCGTGCGTGCGTGTACGTGTGCGTGTGTGCGTGTGCGATGTCGTGGCCATTTTCGCGTTTGCCATCGCGTTTCGTAATCGTTATCAGCTCCATATTTGAATTCAACAAGTAATGCAGGTCGTCACGACCCGCCCGACCGCCGCGGGGCCGCCGCGACACTCTTCCGGTTCGCCGCGCTCTCATTTCCCGCGGGGACGGGGAGACGCGAACTCCTCGCGAGTCTCGCGACGCGCGACGTCGCGAATCGTCTCGCGCGGAGCAGAGAATCGTCCTCACGTGCTCGTCGCGTCTGGAAGATTGTCCGGCCGCGACCGCGATCGCGATCGCGCCCGCCGATCTCTCCATCTCTCCCCGTGAGATCGCGGGACTCGAAAGCTCGTCTCGCGGTGACCGCGAGACATCGGGAGAGTGTCTCGCCGATTCGTCATTAAATCGGGCGAACGCGTCGCGAGAGGGACGCGAGAGCGCGGCGGGAGCACGTTGCCGGAGGTGTGCAACGCGGGTGGACGCCATTAGTTGCAAATTCCACGTTTGGAGGGGGAGGGGGACATTCGGAACACGAGTGAGGCTGATGGCAGAGAACGTATGTACATACGTAAGCGTAAGCGTCGTCGACGTAAAGTAAAAGGCAGAGAAAGACTTAAACGTAAATGTATGACTGTTTAGCCTCATCTACGTTTACGTGCTTCTCTGCTTTACTTCACGTCCACGTCTACGACGCTTACGTCGTTTACGTTCTCTGCTATCAGCCTGATCGCGAGTATCGCGACGGCGACAATGATGATGATGGTGACGACGACGCGACGCCGCGCCGCGCCGAGCCGCGCGGCGCCGCCGCCGAAGATGACACTCGTTCGCGGCGTGATGTCCCATTTGAAATTCCGATGCGCGATTCCGCGTGATAGCGCCGGCCATTTTGTCGCTTATTAGTCGAGCGGATAAACAATCCCGTCCTCCGTCCGCGTGACGCTCGCTGGCCTCGCCACTCTCGCCAGCTCGCGCGAGCGAGCGAGCGAGCGCGGCTCACATGCGCGGAGATTTCAATTCCGCGATACTCTCCCGTTCTCTCTCTCTCTCTCTCTCTCTCTCTCTCTGTCTCTTTCTATCTCTATCCTCGGCGCCTCGGCCGCGCGGTACCCCAAAAATAGAAAAGCGTCCGGAGGCCCATTTTCTGCGGTTTCTTACCGCGTGGATTTTTATGTCGTAACGCGATATATTGCAGCGGCGGGAGATGATCCGCGAAACTTCCCTCGGCCAGGTGGTTCCACGGACATGGGCGATATCCGGCTCGAAGAGATTTATTTTTTAATCCGGAGATGGCGATAGATTTTCCCCAAGTCGACGAGTTTCCTTAATGTTGTAAGAACGTAAAGGGGGAGAGGAAACGTTTTATCCCCGGGTTTACCGTAAGCTGATACATGTACCAGGAAGGAAAAGAGATCCCATTCTGCACATTGTGTTTATCTTTCCACGAGAGATCGTCCCTTTTTTGGTTGCACCGTCTGTTTTGCGACACCCTGTACAACCTGGACTTTAAATACTTTACATTATACGGTTCAAGTGCAAGTTACCTTTTTTTTTCTTTTTTTTTTATACAAAACATTATTCGCGGAAGCAGTAGTACTCTTTTAAGTTTCCGCAATGTTTTGTATTTGGCGTGAAATATATTATATATAAATAATTTTGCTTGCAGTGACCAGAAGACTCTATGCAACATGCCACCAGATAGGCCTGATGCATCGGGTATCGAAACTGACATAGAACTGAATTCATCTCAGGATTATAATTTCGGCGAGAACGCGTATGCGATGAACGACAAGGAGAAGGAGAATGCCAGCGTTCTGGCTGACACAAACTCGACCAACGAATGTCAAAGTGAAATTCCCAGATGGGACAAGTCGACGGAGAAGAACAATCAGTCGGACGACGAACTGACGTCTCTCAGTTGGCTGCACCAGCAGAATTTACTTAAGGGTTTGGACATTTCGAACCCCTCCAAAGACATGAAACACGAGAACATGCTGAATAACAATATCTGCGACGATATAGCAGATTTTTCTGAGAACACCAATTCCGTATCAAGCTTGGATGATAGTTTCTGTCCAGGTAAGATGCGCGGCTCGAAATACATCCCGCACTGTGCTTGTGAGTGTCGAGTATTCTTTAGAATTTACGTTAACTTTATCTTTTCTTGTTTTTTTTTTTATGACGCTGCGTCGACAGAGACTAATGGAAAGGCCAGCGTGACGCTGAACGGAAACGGACAAAACTATCAGCATCCCGCCAAGAATTGTCAAAAGCCCGCGCAAATATTTCAGGAATCTGCGAAAAGTCATTGCAATATTTCGCCAAGTAATCAAACGAAGATTTCTTTGAGCAACAATAATTTGCCAATGTCTAATCGCAACAAGCATCCTACCCATATACCGTATGATCCTCATTTGCACAGAAATAGCAAACCACCGTATTCATTCTCCTGCCTCATATTTATGGCTATCGAAGATAGTCCCGTAAAGGCGTTGCCCGTGAAGGAGGTTTACGCGTGGATTCTGGAACACTTCCCATACTTTAGGAACGCCCCTACTGGATGGAAAAATTCTGTCAGACACAATTTGAGCCTGAATAAATGCTTTCGGAAGGTGGAGAAAGCTCCGGTGAGTGTACGAGGCAAATTTCTCTTCGAGAAAGCGCACCGCGAGATTTATCGATGAGAGTCATCGCGTTAACGTCGCGTCACATCGAACGTATATATAACTTTCTATTCTTTTTTTTTTTCTTTTTTTAGAATTTAGGAAAAGGATCATTGTGGATGGTGGATGCACAATATCGTCCAAATCTGATTCAGGCGTTGTCTCGCGCTCCTTTTCCTCCCCCTACAACCCAGAATTTGTCTTCGTCGGAAAAGGTGTCCAGAAAATGCGTAAATGCACGTCTCCCAGATCCGGTTCTCTTTCCGTATCTATCCAAAAGACTGGCGTCTAGCAATATTAATGATAGCGCAGAAACCGAGATAGACAGCGACGTCGATGCAGCGGCCGCCGCTATGCTTTCCTTCAAGCATGGACCCATCATTCTGAATCACAATAAAGGTATTGAACGTATGCGAAATAATAAAAGAGAGTCCTTGTCTGTATTTCGTTGAGACAATTCATATACTTATGTATTAATGTATGTTTTAACATAGATCGTAAACGAAAATTGCCGGAATCGGAAAAGCTGGTGCCTGTAATTACCAGGAGTTCCAGTGAAGATCATACTTATAGCTGTATCAACTCGATAAAATTGGAAAGGTAAAGATAAATTAATCACGTACGATCGACGTAAATATTACGCGAACAAGTACATTTTATCGTTTTCTTTTTATTTCTTTTGCAGCAAACATTCGAACGAGGAGGAACTAAATCCAGATTTTGATGAACAAAGAAAGATTGCAGAAGGTGCGGACGCGCTTCTGAATTTGGCTGGCGTTAGTACAGCGCTAAATCACAGTAGAACGCATCATGTAACACAAGGTATTAATACGGCATCGAAATCGGAAGTTGTCGCAAAGCCAAAAAAACGTTCTACAACGAGCGATTACTCGAGCACAGAGAAAAAACGTAAGAGATGGCGAGACTGGAAAGAGGGAAATCGATACCTAAAACAAATTAGGGGTTAACGTTAACACATTTTGTTACATTTCGAAAAAAGTGTACGATATGTTATCGAGAGCTTCCCGCTTGTGCGCGAGTCGGAAGCACTTGGGAATTTTACCATCTAGTAACAAGAAAGTACTTTTGTTCTATAGTATCGTCAGTAAATTCTTCATTCATTTCTAAACGCGTTTAGATCGACTTTCATGGAAATTTCTTCGGTCAGGCCAGTTTCTCGTTGTAAACAAAACAAAAAAACGCGCATGTAAATTCTTCCATATAACTTCTAGTTGTGCTAAGTAAAAGAGAGGGTTGTTGGATGCATTTCGAATTGATTGGTGTGGTTGCTCAGGGTTTACAACATGCTATATGCCAAAATACATTCGGTAGCACTAAACAACAAGCAATAATAGAGATGTAGTGTTAAAGAGATACTTTTTAAACACACTGTTGAAACAATGATACAATTGAATAGTACGTGGAATATATATCGATAAAAGAAATTATTATTACATACTGAAGTAATAATAATCATTTCAGAACTGTTGCAAGACGATTATATTAAGTCATAGAGAGTTTAATTAATGATAAAGTTCTACATCAGTTTTCTTTTGTCCTTTTTTTTTTGTAGATATGTATAGAGGCATAATCAACATCTGCTGTCACGAAGCCTGTCCCAACAGTAACGAGACCTATTGTTTTCAAACGTAACGCGGCGATTTCCGACATCAAAATCACAGCCCGATTTGAAGCCCAGTGTTACCATTATTTTACTTCAAAGAGTGCTAGTCTCGTTATTTTTGAGACAGGCCAATCGTATTCAATAGAGAGAGAGATCGATAATATATTTAAAAAAAGATTACACGCATACATATTTCTATGTATATGTGTATATATGTATATAAAATGTATGTATACGTGCATGTATATGCAGATGTACACATTGCACGCGTCAAGCCCGACATACTCATTCATGTATTTATAGTCGGACTCCCCGATTCTCGACTCGAGATGAAACAAATCTTTCTGTTTGCGCATACACAAGATGCCATCGCGCGCGCACGCTTGCGTTCGTATGTATGTACATACCTCGTTCGTCACTTATTCCACATATGTGATAAAAATGACGAATATGAAATCGTGGAAGAGAAGAGGTATCGTGTTTACGGAAGTTCAACCGGTTAGGAAAAAGGGAGTTTGATTGTACATGTGTACAAGGTGTTCCCAAATTGGCGACGATGAAATAGCATGAAAGTTTATGAAAAACTGAGTTATATAAAAGTTCACGTTCTTGTTTTTTTAAATTCCTAACAACAGTTTTCAATATGTAAGCACTTCAGACTTTGTTCAATATTGGCTTGGATAATGATTTGTCTGTATGTAGAACCGGTTAACACTAACTTTACGCGTTAAACAATTAAATTATAAAAATATACGCGCCATTTGTGAATATACGACTATTTAATTAATTGTACATCGTAAATTTTATCAGATTTTCAATTTTTGTGGTTGAAAAAGATCATCGATTGCGATTAAGAAGAGTCTTCGTTTAGTTTTTCACAGACTTTTCATTACAGTTTTCACACGCGAATTTGAGAGCACTCTGTGCATATAAACATGCGGTGTGCATTGTTGCACATGTACAACATATGTGCCACAAACGTATTATCAAAAAAATATTTAAAAAGAAAATAAAAAAGATATTGAGATACATTCAACATGATTTAGAAACGAAGAAATGTTATCATTTCACGTCTTTTTCTACTCTCTTTGTGGCTTTCAAGATGATTTTGAACAGTGTTGTACATATGTAGACCTCCTAATGTATCCATAGACCAGTTTTGGTATTCAGTTGGAAACTGAATATATAGCAATCGTGCTGAGATGTTAATTAAAATCGGATGGAGATGAAAAATAGCACTACATGGAAAGACAACCTATTTTTGTAAAAAAAAAAGACCGTAACACTAAGGAGAGAGAAGTAGAAAAGGAGGGATTTGATAATACCTTGTAATTGTAAGATATGTACGTGTGCTACAAAGACATGCGCACGCGCGAAAGAATATTAGGCAAACTGGTCTTGTATACATTAATACGTAGTTCAATATAGAGAGAACATATATTTTTACAGGGCACTGCCCGCGTGATAAAGGTTCTTCCTAATAATTCGCTGGTACGCAGTTTATTAGCTTAAATATCAATCTACAAAGTATAAATATTAGTGACTCTGGATGAGAGAGAGGGAGAGAGAGAGAGAAACGCAACTGTTGTAGCGCAACCTGATACGATTTCTACATATCAACGTTCATGATGCGCGAAACGTGGCTCTGACAAATTTCGCAAATGCATTCTATTTGTCATTTCGGAATTCATCTGGGATTACTTACGACGATCCTTTAATGTATCGCTCAAAGAGTTCACCGTCAACATTATAGAATTATGCTAGTTTCATAGCATAATTCATAATTACGTACGCCATTGGCATAAGTAGAATTCAAATAGTCTTAAATGAATAATAATTTCAAAACGTCTAACGTCTTTCGTTATTCTGTTTCTGTTAAAGCAGTAGATCAGTCATTGCAAGTTGTAAAGTTGAAAATTTTAATCGCTCGTACGGCAGACATCTTCTAAAGACAATTAGAAAACACAATTTGTATAATAAACAGGATGCGCTACATCAAATATTTAATGTGATTGTAGCTAGTCAGCTACACCAGAAGAAAATTCAATCTGAAGGTGCAAGAAAGAATGCCATGCTCAATATGATAAATATCGAATTTATTTAATAAAAGAAAAATAATATTATTTTTAAATGAAATTGGAAGAATGACCACATTTCAAGATTTTTACATCTTCCAAGTTGAAATTATTCTATGTGTATTACGCTGTATTAAACACGCTATGCTCAACATTGCATGATTTATATAAAATTTAGCTACAAGCAATCTATCTTCTTGTTGTTTTTGAATTTTATTTTACTGTTATTATTTCTGTGATATATTGCAAGAATGAATACAATATTATCATTGTTATACTTCAGTGTATCTGAAGTTTTAGAATTCTATATATATTATGTTGTTTAACGAAAAATAGAGTTTTACATATATATATATTATATATAAATATTATTAATTAACTGGCATTCTTACTCACACCTTGAATACTCTACCTTGATATCGACCTTAAAACAAGCTGGCATCTTCAAATTGATAAACGTACGGAAATTTAATGTTATAGCTTCACGATTTGTTAACATTCTCTTAGTCTAGCTCGCGTTTGCTATGACTGAAGATCTGCTCTTCCACGTATAGCTAATTCTAAAGTAATCTGCTATAGAGAGCGGGATGCCATTCATCGATCATAATACTGTGTAGCTAATCGATAGGTTTAAAAAGGGTAGAATTAAATCGATTAGTCACATAATGTAAAGCAATACACCAGTAAATCCTGACATTGGGCGAAATACTCTAGTCAGCCGGTTTTCGTCGAAGAAATGGGCTTATGTGCAATCGCGTTAATCGCGGAGTCGGTACGACGAGGGGGGATAGACTGTTACTCTGTAATTGCATTACGTAGAAAGAATAAGTATTAACATCGCATATCTTTCCTTTTTCTTAACGCATCGCGCCGACTCGTTAAACGATATAAATTCGCAAAATCAATACAATTATTCGTACGTTTTACGCGGAGATATACACTGTTATTACAACCGGCTGACAGGCGAAGTCATCCTATGACAGACACAAAAAAAACACAAAGTATG